AATTGATCGGGAATAACTACAAAATTCCAAGTTTTTCCAAGGACTCGCCTCAGTAGTGTAAATTGAAAAGTTATGTCCGGGGAATTTCAAAGTCAGACTTCAAATTATAGTGGCTCTATGTTAAGCCAAACTTTGACATCTATTGAAAACTTTGCATGGGAGCTTAAATACCGCTCCAACGTTACTCGAGCAATTGAATCTGGGTTTTTGTTTTTGATCAACTTCATCTCATTTGCTGGAAATCTTTTGCTCGGAATCGCGGTCATCAAAAACCCGAATCTTCGAAGAACTGTTCCTAACATGTACATTATAACTTTGGCTGTTTCCGACTTCCTATCTTCATTAATGGGAATTCCCTTTTCAGTAGCTTCTCTTATCACAGGAAAATGGCCGTTTAACAACTTTATTTGTCAGCTACAAGGACTCTGGATTCTTCTCTTGTGCGCCATGTCTTTGCAGACTCTAGCCGTTACCGCTTTGAACAGATATTTCCGAGTTGTTCGTTCCCGCGTGTTGTATCAAAAAATCTTCAACATGAAGACAACAAAGGTGTCAATCGCAATTCTGTAGATCATGGCTCTCTTTGCGCCTCTTCCTTATGTTGTTGCAGGACACGACTTTTTCTTCCACTCTGGAAAAGTCTTTTGCACATATGATGTGGAATCGTTGCATGAAGGCTACGGAGCTTACTTGGTTCTCATTTATATAGCTATTCCCTTAATCATCATTACAATCTGTTATACAAGAGTTTTCATCGCGGTCCGCCAACATAATCTTGTAGTTTTTCGGCAAAGAATTCGTCCTTTAAACCGACAATTAAACTTTGGTCCCGATAATCCGAGACTGTCTGTCGAGGAGGTTAAAGTGACGAACATCCTACTAGTTGTGGTGGTAGGTTTTTTAAGCTGCTGGACTCCCGTTCTAGTCATTGATTTGATAGATTTTATAAACGGAGATTGGAAGCTCAAGCGACAAGTCTACGTAAGCTACACCTGTTTTGGCTTCGCTAGTTCAGCTCTCAATCCCATCATATACGGAATCATGAATCGCACGTTTCGTACGGAATATTTCAAGATTTTTTCGTCCGTAAAGAGGTTCGTTCTCGGGTCAAACACAAATGTTCAGATTGCTCCTGCAGTGATCGTGATTGCTTGAGCTGAAATCAACTGAAATCACAGAGGTTAGTAATCACTTTTACGGCAAACAGAGGAGTCGAAGCGAGGGGAAAGAGGCAGAGATGGTCGCATACGTTTATAAATGTACCCGATGACAACAAGTTACAACATAATTCGACTGAAAAAAAAAAGGTACTTACCAAGTTTGCTTGAAGATAAAAACACTCTGTAAACGGCAAATAGTAACCTCGTGGTCATCCTTTCCTCTCAGAGCAGCGCTCTCTCTTGTCGACGCGGAAGAACTTCGGTTGACTCATCTTCTCTTGTAATAGACTCAGTCTATGGTCTTGTGACACAGAAAACACAAACTACAATGTGCCAGAATGCTGCATCAGTCTTATTTCAACCCTATAAATGAAGCACTTAATTCAGTATAAATTATGTTACTAACCCATCAAGGTTAAAAAATAATTTCATAACATTTCACCTAGTCACCTACTTAATACATAGAAAGTAACGTTCAACCCGTTCTATAAGTACTCCTTTTGGTCGGATCTCAATCGTCTGCTACTTGCATTTCCTATACAGGGCCGGGTTGTTCAAAGCAGGGTTAGTTAACCCAGGATCAGTGCGAAATTTGATTTGAGATAGGAAAGCTTAAAAAGCAAATTCAATTTTATACCTTTTCCCAACAATTTGATGGTTGGATGTTCTAAAAAGAAGAGAGAAAGTTATCCGGGCTGAAAACCCAGCTTAAAATTTAACCCTGGGTTAGCATTAATCGGCCTTCGAACAATTGGGCCCTGAAGGTTCCGTAAAAAAGAGTCTTGGTGTTAGAGACTAACTACCTGCTGCAGGGGAGATCTAAACGTCCTGTCCCCTCCCCCGTACCTTGCATTCCCTACTCCTGCCCCTTTTTTCTTGACTTCTTTATCGACTGCGAGATATTTCCGCATTGTTGCGTAATTTCTGCCATCTTATACCGTTACCTGCCCTTTTAGAACTCCCTAATCTCGTATCCGAAGGAGATCTAGGTACATTAAGAACTCCCACCATCCGCTCTTCCCTGCCCCACTCTCGTCAACCCGTCTTGACTGCGTGGTGTGTTAGACTCGTACCCAGTCGCTATGTGTTTTCGGGGTGAGAGAAGATTGGGGGTTAAGTTGAGGCGCGCGCGGGGTGTCATGGGAAGGGACGAAGGAAAAATAGCTATGGTTAGCCGAGGGTTAGCCCGCGCTAAAATAGCTCGGGTTACTAGGGTCTAGGGTTAACCCGCGCGTGCCTCAACCTAACCCCCAATCTTCTCTCACCACGAAAACACATAAATAGCGACTGGGTACGAGTCTGGTGGTGTGTGTGACCGGACATCCCCGAGATAAATTTGCCATGGAAAATATCCGTAGCACGTCAAAAGGAAGAAGAAACCGCCCCTGACATTTGACTTGGTAAATAGCTGGTCTTTTCGATACCAAGGCAAGAGAGCCAATCAGGTTTCTGTTAATCTTTGACACCAACATGAAACCTCAAAAATGTTGCTTTTTTTCGGCTTTCTTTCGCGCTGTTGAGAGAATGATCGATGTCAGTGATATGGCAGAATTCACGTTTTAACTTTTTACTTTCACCTTTTAAAAAAGGGGAAAATTACAGGGAAATGCGGGAAAGCAATTTAGGAAAGATATTTCCCAAAAAAATATGTTCTATTCCTGGCATGTAATCGAACAGTGCGGGGATGCAGCTGAACTGTAAAATGGAATCTATAAAGGTCAAAGTGAAAAAAAAAACCGCTATATACCTTTACTAAATTATCAGGACTAACATACCAGTTGAAATTTCAACTAAATTATTCGTAAAGTTTGATTAGAGACTTGTCAGAAATTAGCAGGGGGGAAGGGGGTGGAAAACGGGGGAGGGTCAGAGTTTTTTGAGCCCTCCAAAAGGGAGGGTTATGAAAAAAAGTAAAAGGAAAAGAGGGAGGGTCACAAAAAAATAAGCCACCACGATCCTGACAGGATGCTTTAATATTATGTTTTACGAGAATACAAACCATATATGAAAATCATGACATGCAATTCTGATTTCCTGACATACTGATCATTAGTTTCCTTGTGTAGAAGGGCAACTGCTCCTACTTGATTGTGGTTGATAAGGTTTTAATGTACCCATTTCTATAGCATGCTGTTTTGTGACATGCCCCTGTTTGGAGCATCACTTGAAGTGATCTCCACTGAAAAAACAGTCAGAAGTCTAACGTTTTTTCGCGAAAATTATTCGTCTTTGATTCTTATAGTCGTGATAGTTGATTCTTATAGTCGATCATCCGATTACTTCAAGTCGTTATTACTCCCTCAGTTGTTGAGAGGAGAAAACGACTCGAAGCAATCGGATGAATTTCAGGCTACGTGAAAGAGAAACTGTCATTATCCCATTAAACCAAAAACTTTCTTTTGTCCTCTTTGCCAACAGAAGAAACACTTGCATGTCCATCGTAGGTCAGTTTCAGTACAAGATGGCTTTTTTGAAAGTACTGAATTATTTTCCTTGTACCACTGCATAAGAATTCGGACTCAGGGGAGGGTCCTAGAATTTTAGGACGCTTTCCAGGGGAGGGTCGGGACATTTTAATTCCTTACCTAGGGAGGGTCATTTTATTTTCATCGCTTAACTGAAAATCTCCACCTCCCCTCCCCCTGCTAATTTCTGACAAGTCCCTTACCACGGCAAACTTAACCCACGTTTTACCACGGTTTTGTTAACGTCGGAAATGCCTTTTAACGATTGTTCGGCGGGCAGCCTGCGTAGCAAGCGTTTCCTCGCGAGGTTCGTCTAGAAAGCTGGGACAAGAGCAAAAAAAAAAAGAAAGAATGCCTTCAACCTTTTTTTTGCTTCCGCTCTAACTTTCGCGCAATAACTCGATTGGAAACGCTTGCTACGCAGGCTATTCGGCGGGAAAAAATAACGCGGCTGCGGGCCTACGGAAAATGCTAATGCGGTTTTTCACCCGAAAGGTGTGCGCGTTGTTTTGGTGACTTATGCGCGGCCGCCATATTGAAAGATTAAGGTAGAAATTTGGTCGTTTACTTTTGATGATTCAGGGACATAACTTCAACCTTTTACACACTTGGAAACTAAGATCGAAAAGGAAGCGGTCGAGGAGGGAAAGGTGAGAATTTATTGTCCAAATGTAACTGTAAAAGCTAGATTTTGACGTCTCTATTGATGAACATGTGAGTCGTCTTTTTAAGATTAAATTGTTGAGCATAGCTAATGGCACGAACTACACATAGACGATCTTGATTTTCCTTTCTTTAGATAGTATTTACCGGTAGCAGGGTTTATCCTGCAAGGGCAGAAAGTGGATCTACGTATGCACAGAAAATATAAGCAGCTAATCCAAGGAGTATAAAAGTCCATACAGCGGTTTGTTGGTTGGCTTCGATCTTGGGACTGTTATTGCAAGACAAAATGCCTTCTAACGTGACGAATTTTAACATCAGGGATGTCTGGAAAAATAACATGGAGGAAGAGTTCGCTAAAATTCGTGATATAATAGAAAACTATCCTTATGTGGCTATGGTGAGTTCGATATATTTTCATGGTAAGATTTTTGCACAGCCTCATAAATTTTAGCTTCAGGTTCTCATACATTTGTCGTCTTTATTCATATTAAGTGATATGTGTGAAAATGAGATTGCCTCAGACACAATAAATGTATGGGTTGTGCAGAAATCTTACAAGTTTTAAAGTTATTAAAAAATCTTTTTTCACTGAAGAAAACATATACTATAAATGTGTGGTTACAGAAACAGCAATGTTGCTGGAAATTCTCTGGTATGATTTATGCAAAGCTTTGGGTTAGACTGTAGGATACTGCCCCCCCACTTGTGTCAAAATCACTGGGAGAAAATAAAGGAATCTTTTCTTTTGACAAGTGTTGAACCTGTGAGGAGTGTCTATGAGCTGTCACAAGATATGTTAGTACCTATGGCCAGCTCCCAGCTTTCATGACTTACACAAGTATTAATTTTTATTTAGTGTTCTGTTACTCAACAAACAGATGACTTATCACATTTGTCAAAAACTTCCTATTCTTTTTCTCAGGACACAGAATTTCCTGGTGTAGTAGCTCGACCAATAGGAGAGTTCCGCAGCACATCAGAATACCAGTATCAATTGCTTAGGTGTAATGTAGACTTACTAAAGATCATACAACTAGGTTTATCCTTTTATAATGAGAAAGGCCAGCAGGCGCCTGTTGGAGCTACATGTCAGTTCAACTTCAAGTTTAATTTAACGTAAGTTTGATTAAATTAATATACTGTTGTGCTGCATATACAGAGGGTTGTATAGGTGTATGTCTGTGATATGTGGTTAGCTGAATTCAATAAATTTTTTTTTGTGTTCTGTGACTAAAAGGTTGAGGATGCCGCAAGAAAAGCTTGAATTAATTATTGATATTTGAGATTTTGTTTCTTATTTTTGTTGGGATGTTCAGTTTTGAGACCTCTGAAAGATAAATAATGAGTATGAAAACATCTAATGAGATTGATGAAGGTCTTTAAGTTGCTACGTGCAGTCTTTCTTTTCCTTTTCACCACTTTGCTGTTTTTTTGCACTCTTTTGCCGCTTTTTTCTTTACGTAAGAACAAGATAAAGAACGGTACTTAACATACTGATTATCGTGACCTGAAAGCTGAAATGAAATTTTGATATCGGTGATTAGTGCTTAGTTAGTAGAGAGCTTAAGCAACCACGCAATGACGACGACAACGACAACTTCAAAAAACAATAGGTTTAATGATCAAAACAACAGCTCTGCATGTGCATCACGCTTTTTAGTACATTTCTTTGACGTCCACTGCACGCTACGCCGTGAAACCTCCTAGTTTGATGTTTTATTGAGGACGTGGACAAACAACGATGAATTTTCCTTCCTCTCTTTGAACTTGAATAAAATCCTTACGAACTCAACTCCAGGAAAAGTCACCTGCATTTGACATATTGAGCGGGTCCAAATAGATGCGATTAAGTTTGAAAGAACACAAATTCATTTGTTTAGAGACGTTTTCACTGCCGTCGTCGTTGTCTTTGCTTAAGGTCCCTAGTTTTTTGGTCTGTGAACCGTGCCAGAGAACCACCCTTCTGTATGACACTCTATACAGCTACAGTAGTTACCATGGTAAATGCCATTTACTGTGGTGCCCCTGTGTGTCGGCAGTGGCCCTGTGGTTATTGCTTTCCAGTTGGTAAGAAGAGGTTACAATTCATGCCCTGCCAAAGTCATGGTGTCGAGGTTTTACTCTCACAGTGCCTCACTCCACGCAGCTGTACCGGTGACTGTGAGGGACTACCGTCCTGTCGAGGGAGAATAGAACTATTGCTAAAGGAAATGGGTAAAAACTCTTGCCTGATGAGCCACTTGGCTTATTTGCAGATGGTCAGCTTGTTGAAATTGCTATTCAGAGGTCTGCTCTGACTTCTTGCTGGATTTGTTTCTTGTTAGTTCGCAGTTAACCTCTTGGGCCCTGTGTATAGCCAACAGGTTTTTTCTCTCCTGGAAGTTGGGGTTTATGTTTGATGTGGATTGTTGAATTTTAATCTTCCATCAATTAAACGAAGCATTTATAAACTTTTTTTTCATATTTTACAGAGAAGATATGTATGCCCAAGATTCAATAGATTTACTCAATCGAGCAGGAATTCAGTTTAAAAGACATGAAGAAGAAGGAATTGATGTTGGTGACTTTGCAGAGCTGCTTATAACATCAGGACTTGTACTTAATGAAGATGTAAAATGGTTATCATTTCACAGGTATTATTTTGTGATACAGTTTGACAGTTCCTTTTTGTCAAGCATCTTCTCCATTCTTGTCCTGTACTGTTCTTCATGTATGTTTTATGTTTCTAATAACTAAAGAGAATTTGTTGAAGCTTGATGAATTTTCTCTTACTAGTCTGGAGCAGTCATGCAGGCCTACCAAGCCCCTTTTTAACAAACATTGTCTTTATTTCGGCATTTAACATTGCTTGCATGTTCTACAACTCATATTATTTACCAGCCCAATGGTTTACTCTGCTAACGTGGGGCTATTTGACAAAAACTTTGTTGTGTCCTGACCACACCTTGGTTACCATTTATTGCTTAGTTGTTGCTACTGAAACGCAGCAGCCTATCAATATTCTTCCACAAGACTTAGTTATACAGACACTTTTTCTAATGTCAGTTAATTCTTTTCTTCTGTTTTCTAGTGGTTATGATTTTGCTTACCTTTTGAAAGTCCTGACAGCACAAAACCTGCCTAGTGAGGAATCAGAATTCTTTGATCTCCTTAAGCTATATTTTCCAAATATTTATGACGTAAAGTACTTGATGAAAAGTTGCAAAAGCCTCAAAGGAGGCCTACAGGAGGTGGCTGAACTACTGGAGGTAAGAATCCAAATAAATAAATCATTTGATGAATCTAGTCAGATGCCAATTCTCTTGATTATTATTTGATTAATTATGGAGTTAATCGTGAAACAAACACAAAAAACAAAAGCAAAAGAAGTAAAGTAAATGTTGAGTAGCTGTTAACAAACTTTCTCTGTTAAATTTTTTTGAAGCTTGAAAGAGTAGGACCCCAGCATCAAGCCGGAAGTGATAGTCTTTTAACAGGAAATGCGTTTTTTAGAATGAGAGAGGTATGCGTCCATTTTTCCTGTTTTATTTAGTAAGTAATATGATATTATCAAATCATTTTTTCAATTCGTCCTCAAAATGCACTTGATTGTTTCTTCAAACAAAACAGGATTTTTACAAGACATTTTTGAAATATATTAGTTCAGTCCTCAAATTAAATTGATCAAACATACATCACTGAAATGACGGAAACAACAACAATCCTCAAAGCACTTTGTTTAAGGTGTATTTAACTGTAGTATATCATGTCTAGCCATAAAGATCCAGAGAGAATGATTATATGAAAAATATCTCATGATTTGCATTTCTTTGAATAAAACCTGAAAACCTGTCAAAACTATTGAATTATTGAAAGTGCGTTTTTGAATTTCCCTACAACCTGATTGGCCAATTGAACAATGGCTTTTCTATTAGGCCAAACATTGCTTGTACTCAAATCTGATAGTCTTTGGGAATTTTTATGCGTCAGGATGCAGGACGCAGAGGTAACTAAATCACTGGGGTCAGGCTGAGTTGGCAATTTATTAATAATATCATTATTGCTTCCATTCCATAGATGTTTTTTGAAGACAATATAGATGATGCAAAATACTGTGGACACCTTTATGGGCTAGGGACTTCATATGTAAATGGCGGACAGGCCTACAGTGGACCTACCTCTAACAGCAACAACAATTCTTCCTGATACATGTGAAGTGTGTATTTTAACCCTGTATCATCAAGATTTTTATTTCACATTTTCCTAGCATCCCTGTCGCAGTGTAGAATTTTTAAGAAAATATGAGAACTTAAGAAAATCATATTTCAAATATACTTTTTTTAGTTTTCTTTTTATGTCCATCACCTTGACACTAATTTTCAAAACAAAACATGTGATATTTTTGTTCCATAAAATTTATTCATAATTTGTATTATATGGGCCAAAAAATTTCTAAGAAAGCTCTGGCTTGTTTTTTTCTGAATGAGCATTTTGTACTGTGCTGACAAAGAAAGGCCAAAATAAAGTTTTCTCAAAATAAGTTATATCACTGGTTGAAACTAGCAGTTTGTTTTGCCTAGTTATTGAAAACTAATGGCATGATGATGGATATTGTATAGTCTGAGAAAACAGCTGACATTTGGCCATGCCACCACTGGTTTCCCTGTGGAATGACATCTGGAACTAGCACAGAAATTCCATACTGATGACGGGTCACTACCCAGATGTAGGTAGTGCTTCTGATTGGTCGTACCCAGGGGAAATTTGCTTCAACCAATCAGAAGCACTAGCCAGATCTAGATAGTGATGCTTCATCAGTATGGAATTTCTGTGCACATTTTTCAGAGCTCATTTTGCAGGGAAACCAGTTGTGCCATTGCAAAATAGTGGCTGTCTTCTCGGGCTAATATTGTAGAGATGTTCGGAATTTAAACGTTACAGTTCAACAGGAACATGGATGCTTGCAATGCCAAGTTCTAACCACAAACCCACTTGAACTTTTTAATATTCTTTTTAGATTTAACCTTATTACCATAGAAAGAGGCATATATATTATCATATCACAGAAGTGTAAATTCATTTTAAGTATAAACCAATGGGATTGCTCTTCCAATGCTACATTTCATTGTGCATTCAACAATGCTTTTGTATTACTTATTCTTGTTAAAGTGTAATCTTTTTCTGTGGTGCAACATTACTCATTTCGTTTTACTTACATGCCGATGTAAACGTTGTCATCAGTGCATCATAGTTTGTTGACCTTATTCATAACCAAATCTTCACTTCCTGTGTGAGATTTTGTAATCATGTTTTGTATTTAGATCACTTTAAATTAATTTGTCTTTTGTTGCTCAAGCTCTATCTACTTTCTAGCTCCAGTATGCAGAGGAGTAGTTAACAAGTGGTCAAAAAATGGTTTTGCCCAGAGTGATGTGAGCTCCATTCCAAAACTTTGTGATAGCAATACATTCCCAGCAGCTCACCATATACAAAGTTATTTGGGTAGCCAGTGTTTACACTTGTTATTCTAGATAACTCAGTTTATGTAACGTCATTTCCACTTCATTGCGATATCCCTTCGGTTCAAACTTGTGAGTGGTATTTTTTGCAGTTTCATATAACTTGTCAAAGTACCACTACTTTTCTTTACTCAGGATAAGAGTAGACTTTATATACCATTAATAGTGACATTCAAGTTGTACAAAATTTGGCAGGCCATTGGTTTCTACTTGCCTGTGAAAGTGCATTCACTCTATTTATATAGAGCGGTTTTCACTTGACTGTCGTAAAACCAAAACCAAAGTAAATACACTAGCCAACCAAAGGGCGTAGTAAAACCAAAACCAAAACCAAAACCAATCCCTTTCGACAGTCAAGTGAAAACCGCTCTATTCTAATCCATGTAATTAGTAGTTTATACTAGGAGTTTTTGCAGGGAAATGGTCATTAAAGTTCAAAATATGAATGGAAGTAGAAAATAATGATGTTTTGTTGTTTGTTTCAATGATAAACTTGCCCTCCAAATTTGGGTAAGAGGTGTTTTTTTTAACAGAGGGTTGAATTCTGTCCAGTAGTTATTTTATCCAGGTATACCTAGGCTGGTCACAAGAAAAGGACTTTTGGCTGTTCAATAGAGTGTATTCTTGTTTGTTTTGGTCTAGACTCATCTTTTGTGGTTTTCTTGCATACTACTGATACCCTTCTGCAAGAAAGCTTAAAATGATGAGTTTACACCGAACTCACAAGAATAGAAAAAAAAGGTGAGCCTTGTGATTGTATTATACTTTGGACACAATAGAAATTATTTTAAAATATTCCTCTTTTATGTTTGAGTTTTCAAACCTTGATATTTTATCTCTCGCACAGCTCATATTTTCAGTTATGACCTCCTGTAATACAATACTGCTTTATGTAAAGGTCAAGTGCGACGCTGTCCAAAGCGCCTAAGTTAAGACTGGTTGTTTCATCATACCCTTTCCGCTTGATGTGAGCATGGGCTGCTTGTGGTGTGCAGTATTATTGGTTATCTGCCTTGGGGAATTTATGATCTAAAATGGCATCATTAATAATTCAGAGCTGGTTAATGGCATTTTATTTATATTCTCAATTTCGTATCGGCACACAAAGATAAACCTACAGAAGTCTCAGTAACAAAAACAGCCTTAAATACTAGATGTGCTGCTTGTCACAAAAATAATGTGCTATCACCAACTAAGTTTTACAACAAAACACTTTAACAATAATATTAATGTTTGGTTAAAATTTTCAGTTTATTAAATTGTATTTACATTTGTTTTGCTCTATTCCCTAGATAAATTATTTTCTCTTGCACCCAATTTGCAAAACAGTCACTAACAAAGCATTGTTTATAATTATAGACAAAATGATACTAAAAATAAACAGTTCATGGTTAGTTTGGTTTTCATTGTAAATAATATTTATATGATTAAATTATACATATACTATAACAAAAGCAAAATATCGGTAACTTTCCTGTGCTTAACTAACACCAATCTCTCAAAACCCCTTTCAGCATTACACAATAATAGTTCTTTGACAATTTACAAAAACTTGTCAGAAACTAAACTTTTGAGCTTTTAGACCACATCTTCGAGTGAACATTCAAATGAAACGTCTTTGGCATGACTTTCTTGTTGCTCTTGTTTTCTAGGCCACCACTGAAGCCAGAACCACAAAGTGTGTTTAAAGTAATGTATGAGCTCAAAAACAATACAGTAGCAATATTATCTCCTCCCCTTCAAAATATAATGACTTTCCTCCACCTAGAGAACTGCTGCTTTACTGACAAATGCTATAAAAGAGAGAAAGGAATGTGCTTACTGGAAGACTACTGTTCAGTTTCCACATTTTGTAAGAAAACTGCCACATGCTGAATACTAAAAAAGTTTTAACCCTTGAAGTCCCGATAGTGACCAACATCAATTTTCTCTCAATGATATCTGTACATTGTCAAGAGATTAGGTTATGAGAATTAATAAAATGATCCCCCAAGAGAAAATGCTTTGATCTTTTGTCAAATTCTCTCAACTCATCCTTTAAGGTAATATATAGAGATCAGTTTGGAGAATTTGTATGTGGATATTGGCGCTTAAAGGGTTAACTCTGCCTGTTGCACACCTGCATCATATAACATCTCTTTCAGCCCAATCTACCACATTTAAGGAGGCCCATAAAGATTTTCATCTGAGTATTCAAAATATGAACTTTTTATCCCTAAATGGTTTAGTCATCAGTTTTCTCTACAATCTAGAATTACCTACAAAATATGCAACTCAAAGTGGTATCAGAATTTTTCTTACAACCAAAACAATTGCACTGCAAAAATTGCTATTGCACATTGTGCATATTGAAAGTTGTCATTGTCTCACTGCTAGCTGATCTTTTGAATTCAAACCGGACAGAGCATGTTTCCAGTTTAATCATAACTATAACAAAATTGTCAAATCTGATTGGCTATCAACTGCCCTGATTTCAGCCTTAATTGGACAGTTTGATAGGACAGTATGCATCATGCCTAAGTAATTGGACAGTAAGCGCCATCACGTGCGCTTAAATGGCTTTTTTTATCACTGCTAGCAAAACAAAATTTCGAATTTCTTGTGTTTCCATTTAAAAAATAGCTTATTATATCACAAATTTTGTTAAAGTTATGATTAATTGGTAACAGAACTTCGTGTCGTCCAATTCGGTCTGTAATCATACTTGTGATTAAACAAATCGGACTCCTGCTATGCTGTTGTCCAATTTTGTTAATCACTCGTACGATTACAGACCGAATTGGACTCCACTCAGTCCTGTTACCATTCCTTATTACAATGTAACTATGAGACAATTTCCACTAAATAGACTGTTCACAGTTCCTAACTATTCTGTGTGATTATAGAGACAATGATTGCCAAGTTTCGGAGGATGCTAATAATCTTGATTGTTATAGGGTGAAAACTAGGAGGAATGCATCACTCGGAAAACTGCAAACACTAGAAATATAGACATATTTACTGTGTTGCAAGGAAAAAGCCAATCAGGCTTGGAAAAACTAAACTACAAACTTGCCTAATACACCGTAGTAATTATTAATATTACTGCATGTGGGCCAAGCAAATTTAACAGGGCTGTCACTGTAAGAGCCAGGGGCCAGGGATTTTCTTTCATCCACCAAACGAGACTTTTACAGCTGACGCTTACAAAAAACACAGTAAGCACAGTCCATTAGATGAATGGTATTCCGATGTCTTTCGCACGACATTCTTCTTCTTCCTACGAAGGACTTGCCACACTTTTGGCAAAGTATTGTCTCAGGGGCTCTGTTACAATTACATACTGCGTCCTGCAAGCAAGGTAAAGAAGAAAATAATGAATGACAAATCTGGAAATCAATAAATGTGCTACTACAAAGCATCTTAAGCATAACAAGTTAGGAGTATCCTGGACAGCAACGCTGGCTAAAGAAGAGGTGTCAACAACGGAAATGAACAAAAAATTTCAACTTCAGTAAATTTTTATAAAACAAATCGCCGCTGACATTATTCCAATCGCAAATGTGTGGAAATTACCCTGCTCAATTTTGGCACAGCTTAAACCTTCAAATAGCAATAGCCTTATATTTAACGGAAACTTGGTAGTATGTCATATTGAATGGGAAATTGCACAATCACTCGGTCTAAAAGAATAACCTTCATTCGTACATGCAAAAGGTGTGAGATGATATTAAACATCGCCCGTCGATAGCCACAGCAAAAGTCCATGTTCTTTCGCTCACGTCTCGCTAAATAAAACCTTATCAAGCGTGTTTTAAATTCAAGCAGGCATTAAACGTGATCTTTTCTACTAACGTAATGTGTATAGTGATTGTCTTATAAGGAAATCGGGAGCTACTAAAAAATAAGTTGCACCGCGCGCACAGTTCTTGAAACAAACGTGACTCCCACCTTATCTGGCTTCATGCTGTTGTTGTTCATGTTACTGCTGCTAGCGCTACCGTTGTTTGCTCCTAAGGACCTCTCGTAAGTTGGAGCTGCAAACAGACGAAGCAAGTGAATTTTCGACAACACGAATGCCAAGTGCTTATCCCGTCATCACGATCGATCTTACTCGCTGCAGAAAAGGTCAACTATCAAAACGTTTCATTAACACAGTAAAAGCCTTGGTACTTACTATCAACTTCGTGAAAATAGTACATTAACTCCTTGTTCATGTTTTTGAAGTTTGGTTGGACTCACGACGTACAACTGGTAGTTCTCGAAGCACTTTTGACAGCGATCTTGCGCACATGTGCGCGGTTTTGGCGCCATATGTGACGTCACTCGCGGTAGAAAAATGAGATACAAAGAGCCAGTTATCAAACAATTGAAGTGTATTTCCCCTGATTTCCGCCGAGGAATTTTAGCTGGCCTCCAAATCTATTGTTTAAGGGCAGGCGATTCTTTTTTACCATAGACGCGAATAAGCGATTAATATTGCTAAAGTAAGTGAAAAGACACATAGCATAATCGGTCTTTACTGCCATATCGAAGCTCGTAGTCTTGGTAAAATGCCGTGATCAGTGCTGATCAACCCGCAAATTCGCAAATCGCAAATTGAAGTAGTCAACACGGTGGCTCTGACGCTCGTCCTTATAAAACGCGGCTTCCAAAGTATAACTCTGTATAAACGAACAAAAACGTCAGTCATCTGCCGAGGAATTGCAGTTTGAAAAGTTTATCTTGTTTGTCTTTAATATTTCAATTCAATCGGCATTTAAAGTAACAGAATATTCGAAGAATTTTCGCACCATTTGAACAATAGAGTTTAAAATTAGAAAGGCTCCGAAAGTTTGATTCAAAAGACTCAAAACAATAACCGCAACAAAAGACTCGCACTTTACTTACTTGCCTGACTTGGGCTATCAAAGCAACAGACTTTTTCAGCTGGCATGTGATGCGGTGGTTTCTTTAGCGCCCCGTTCGCCGGAGAAAAAAAACGACCAACCCCAAATAAGGATATAACAGTTCTCGCTTGGCTGCCGTTTTAACGAGATCTAGAGCAATAAAATTACGTTGCCGGCCTATTTATGTGGTAAAGAAGCCAACAAATCCATAGAACTGAGGGAACAATTCATCCTTCATTATCTTGCATGCAATCAAAAAGCCGAACAAGACCTTCACAACACGAAACAAGCAAGACCTCGTTCACAGCTACGCGGTTACGTGGATACGTAGTGACTGAGTATCCGCGATATCCTCATATCTTTATGGTTTGCTTTAAAGCCCAGGGGGAAGTACTCCGGATTTCAAGTGACAGGGATGATCGAAGGATTTTTTTGTGTTTGAAATTGATTGATTGGGTAACTTGATTTAAGCAGGGATTTTTTTGGATATTCAAAACTCATGTTTTTATTTTTCATGTCTTATCATTTAATGCTTTCTGGAAATTTTTATGGCTCGGAAATTCAGCACGGGATTTTTTTGAGTTTTGTTGGAAACCCTAGGGATTTTTTGGGTTTTGAGTTTTGCCCCCATTCGATCATCCCTGCCACTTGAAATCCAGAGTACCCCCCGGACTTTAAAGTGGCAGGGTATTCTAACAGTCGAAGCTCTCTTCAATGGACAGCTTCAAAGAGCTTCTAGGAAAAGTGTCCACACCAGAAGTCAGTTAACTGTTAACGTGACGGGGATGTTTTTATCTAAGAGAGGGACTGCATGTAAGACACTGAAGTAACTTGCCACGTACAGTATAAAAACAAGGAAACATGTCATAATATAACTCATCACGTTTTATTTCTTTTATACTCACAGAATAATAAAATAGCTTATTTCTGAAAATTGAGTAGCTTACTCTCTTGAGGTTTATTACATTAAAATTTCTGAGAGCTGGCTATTCATCATTTATCAAACTTTTCCTGGTCATCAATCTCTCGCCAGACAAGGTAAAAGAGTCACAACCTCTGTCAAAACACAAGGGACCCACACAATCTGTGTGTGTATAAACCGATGTAATTTTACAGTAAATGTACTGGATTTACCGTTTGCCTCACCCATAGCGAAATATCGCTAAGTATGTATATAAATTAATGTTAAATAAACGTTGAATTACCTTACCTATGGTATATAGTCGTCCTTGCCTCAAAAGCGGTTTTTTGAGCGACTTTGAAGGAGTTTCAGTTCGCCGTTTACTGTTCCCAATAATAGGGACCTTAACGACGACGGTAGTGAAAACGTCGCTAAAAAAATGAATTTGCCTTCTTTCAAACTTCATCGCGTCTATTTCGACCCACTCAATATGTCAAATGCAGGTGACTTTTCCTGGAGTTGAATTGTTAAGGATTTTATTCAAGTTCAAAAAGGGGAAGGAAAATTCGTCGTCGTATGTGTCCTCCATAAAACGTCAAATTAGGAGGTTTCACGTCGTAGTCGTGCAGTGGACGTCAAAGAAATGTACCGAAAGCCTGATGCACGTGCAGAGCTGTTGTTTTGATCATTAAATTTATTGTTTTTTGAAGTTGTCGTCGTGGTCGTCGTAGTTGCTTAAGCTCCCCAATAGCACAGTGAACGGCGAACTCAAACTCCTTCAAAATCGCTCAAAAAACCGCTTTTGAGGCAAAAGGACGACTATGCACCACAGGTAAGATATTTCAACGTTTATTTGACATTCATTTATATACATACTTAGCGACATATCACTATAGGTGAGGCAAACGGTAAATCCACTACATTTACTGTAAAATAACATCGGTTACGCACACAGATTGTGTGGGTCCTGTGGTCAAACGGATTTTTTAACAACTGAGGTTGTTAATTATATAGAGTAAAACTCAATCTTTTTCAAAAGGATATACTCCATTACAATTCAAGTTCCTCCCCTATCCAACCGAAACTCCTCGACTGTAAACTAGTGCAGCTTCTGTGAAACTATGCAGCTTTCGTTTAGACATTCGAGGGTGTACTACATTAAGTACGTGGCAAAGTACATCACAATAGCGAATAATACTATCATGGCTGAAAACAGTCCCAGCTGAACTTTGATAAACACGTGAAGGCCTTCCTCTATGTGTGAAATTTTCTTGCTGGTTGCGTCAAGCTGCAAGAGAGAAAATGCATCCTTAAAATAGCACTAACAATACGTAAAGACCGAAGGCGGGAGCGAAATAACGTAACGAAGAAGACGTATACCGTCAATTTAATACCGCTTATACCACCACCCCCCCGCCCCCAGGTGTAGGCCAATGTACCAGTAAACAAAAAGTACACCCGATTATAAGCCCCCCTCTTGGCTCTAGCTTGTATTAAAGGACCTTACAGTACATTCGAGTTGCTCTGACGTTTTGAAGCTCAGTATTAAAAACCAGTCAGAAATAAAGAACGTATTTTGATCAGCACTGCTATAGCTTGATTCGAAGCGCTTTTCTTACTCCGGTTACAGGCTCCATTGGGTATTAGCCACCCCTAAAACCCCTTACGAAGATGTACAGGCCCCCTCGGATACAAGTCCCTCCGTTTAAAAGCCCCCTTGGATATAAGTCCCTCCGTTTAAAAGCCCCCTTGGATATAAGTCCCGCCGTTTATAAGCCCCCTCGGATATAATCCCCTCCGTTTATAAGCCCCCCTAAAACCCCTTACGAAGATGTAAAAGCTCCCTTGGATATACGTCCCTCCGTTTAAAAGCCCTCTAGGATATAAGCCCTTCCGTTTATAAGCCCCCTCGGATATAATCCCCTCCTTTTATAAGCCCCCCTATAAACCCTTCACGAAGATGTACAAACCCCCTCGGATATAAGTCCCTCCGTTTATAAGCCCCTAAAACCCCTTATGATGATGTACAGGCCCAGGGCTTATAAGCAGTAGCTGACGATATTGCTGACAACTGTACACTTACTCACGGGGCGAAAAGTATCGACTCACAGATCAACTTTCGAGATAACTTGAAACCGTATTTTATAACTATGACGGCCGTCAATTTTGAAACCTCTTCAAAGATGGTCAGTTTACCACATTCCTGACCATTCAGCTTCCCCTGATCCTCTTTTTCCCGCCCCCTGGAAACGAGGTTAAGCTGCAGAGTTTTTATTAGCCAGTTTGAGGTTACGTGGAGGACTGGGTCGGCCTTGTTGTATTGAATTGCCCTTTGTGACTGTTTTTGATAATATTTTTCGAGACAGCCAATTAAAGAAGCGCTAGCGCCCCAAAACAATCCCATAGTGCAATTTGATAAACACCGACCCAGTCCCTCGCGAATTGAAGAATAAAATGCTTGATTGTTAATGTACACACCTTCCTCTCAACGTCATTAAGTTGTCTTTGTAGCGATTCAATGCTATCGATGGCCATACTAAGGGTTACAGGTTTACCGTCCACAATATCGGAATACTGTAACTGGGAATTCGATGCAACGAAACGGCACTGAAGTCTGAAATAAAACAAGAGAGTTCATTTAAATATGAAGCTATCATACATAGCCAACTAGTCACCTATCATCGAATACATTCTTTTAGCGGTCGTGTTTAGTTTAAGGTGTCCCTAATTACAACAGCGGCTACTTTTTCCTCTTTTTCTGCTCAAGCTGTAACGCTACTTCTGTCATGTTTTTTAGTGCATTTGCCAAGGCTTCGACCTGGTTGTTTGTTTTTCAAATTTGGATAGCCTGAGTATCAGGCCTAATCCTAAGGGGCTAGGGGACAGGAGATTTTTAGCTCCCATCTTTCCTTTTTTTCCCCCAGAAACGCCTGACGCTCAGGCTAACTTTGGAGATTAATAATTTCTTGACGAAGTCCTTTTTCCTAGCCTCCATTGCATATTTTTACAATTCCTAAATTGACTCACCGGTGTTCCACAATATTCGCCTTAGGTATCGTCCTCCAAAGTGCGGCAAGTTCACTTGGGGATTTTTCTTCCTGCAACTCGGTCGACATAACCAAGAATTTATCTCTAATAACACTTGCAGCGTGACCTGTCGTACGTAAAAAACACCAAATAAATGAGAGAGAGGAAATACTTGACAAGCAACGACACCGACAAGAAATGAGCCTATGACTTCTCAGACACTAAACAGGCTCTGTTACCACTGAGGTACGGAGAGAAGGCTCTCTCACCTAGTCTCCCCCGCAGAGGCCTCTTTGTGTCGTAGGGAGGCTGGGGAGAGAGAAAAAGAAAGCGCGAGGAGGATGATGGGAAGGGGAATAGAGGAACAGAAGCTCCCTCCTTTTCTCTCTTCCCACCGTCCAGCTTTTTAGATTTTCACTATCTTTAATGGAATACACAGTGGGAGCCTCTGCGGAGAAGAGAGGCGAGAAGTTGAGCATTCGCAACACGTTATGTGGCAGGCGTCCTGCATACTGTCAGGATCAGTAATACTGATAGCGTTCAGCGTGGTGGTGAACTAGAAACCATCACCGAAAGAGTTTTTGAGTGATATTTTTCAGCTTGAAGTTTTAATGTTTTCTTACCTGGTTGCAAAAAGACGCTGACTTCAGCGGATGAGCTGGCGGGGATGACGCCAGAGCTGGGGCGTACGCGATAGCTCTCTGGAGAGGTGGTCTTGACCTGAATAAATGCGAGTGACGAAGAAAGGTGATAATCTGAAAAGTTAGTCGTCTAAACTCTTTACCCGTCTCCTATTCTACCCAGTGACTCACTGTATGTTCTTCATCGTAGTTTTTCAAACAGAGTCGAAAGAGAAACAAACCTTAAACGCGACGGATGATACAGTGTTATTGGCAAGGGACAAAGATTGGAGGATTTCCCCAGTTGAAGTCGTTCCAATAAATACTAACTCCTCAGGAGGTCTGCAATCAAACCAAAGCAGCCATGTTAATAGAACTTCTCGTAGAGAAACACCTCTCAAAAGCGACCGCGACCCACTTTTAAGCCTGACAGTTTTGCATGCAGTTTTCCATTCTTTTAGACCTCTCGCAAGCGACCAATTGACGCATCAGACGTTGTCTCTTTGCAGTTTGTGCCTTTGCTATGCCATTTAGAGTATACGAAGAGTTTTCAGTAACTACATGGAACTACACGTAATACGTAAACGTAGTAAAACTTTGAAATTGCGTGCAATAAATAAAAAGTAGATCCCTTCTGGTTCGACGACTACTCTCGTAACCGACTGCTAAATTCTTGCATTTTGGATGGTCGCTTACGGGAGGTACGACTGTATTTACTACATACACTAGGGCACGAAATATAACATACTTACGTAATTAGAAGCAATTTAGATGTGTTCACAAACCCATCAGGGGGAGCACGTCTTTGGGATGACCGCGATTGAACGGCTCGTAACGTTGGCTTAGACGCGGTTTCCCTCTACGAAAAAATACAACAGAAACAGATTTCAAAACGTCAGTTTGATTCTGGAAGAATCATAATTACGAACAACGGAAAAACAAAAGAGTCTGTCCTAAGTGAAAGCTTAGATTGAAACGCTAACAGAGTCGCGTGCGTTTTTGACAAGTGAAAGAGTCCGAACGGCAAGCTTCAGCTGGAAAGCGAAAGAATTACTAAAGGAACATGAATTAAATCATGCGTAAGCAGGAGTTCAGTAAAAATTGACAGAATTTCAAAACCTGTACCTGAAAATTTTCGACAAGATCGACCTCTGAATTACTAATATCAAGATAACTTAAGCAAAAACACTGTTAAACACAATTGAGACTACGTGAGGTAGGCAACGGCTACCTGTCTTATATTTGTTGAAGGAAGCGAGTTTTCAACGCCGTAGTTTGCTGTAGAATTTGCATCTTCAAACGTAACCTGAAACGAATCAACAAGACTTTCGGTAATTAACTGTCCTTCCGGCTCGATAGCTGTAAAACAGAAAAAAAGAGGTTGAAACAGCCAATCACAATAAAGTCAGTCTTAATTCTGTAGCTAAGGGAGTTTGGAGAGCAGTAAGTAGTTAAAACGTCCAGACAGTGTAACATACAAATTTGCTAACACAGGCTGGTAAATGAATTTTAACTTAAACGATTACACAACAAACAGAAGCGAAATTTCACAAAAGCGCTCAAACTCAGGGAACGCAAATTTGCCGACTTTTGGCGATATTAGAGAGATTTTAAAAGATTCAAGTTTACGCCAAACGGCAGGGGACGCGAATATTTGTACCACGTGACCAAGTTTTCCTCTTTACTGCTTCTACACAAAAATAAGTTGTTTTATCCCAGTTTTAACCATAGGAATCGTTCGGGGCTGTTTCTACCGGCTTACTTTCTATTCTGAGAAATTCTCATCTTTACTCTGACGTTTGCCGTTTGCGGTTAAGGTTAATCTTAATCTCTTTATTATGTAAATATGACGACAATAAAGTGATCTCGCAATATAGGGAGATGTAACCAGTGTCAAGTCAAAATTGAACTGATTCTCACCGTTTTAGATGAAGGAACAGGGGCTTCTTCACGCTCGGATTGCGATTCAGACTGCGATGCAATCTGATTGGAAAACTCCTCACTGCTATCATCATCCAAGTCCACACTTTGGTTCAAAGGCCCGTTTGTAATTTCAGCCTCCTCTATACTGTTAAAAAGAAGTGAAACATGTCATTAACAAAGCCTTCTCCGAAAGGTTAGTCCTGCAAAGTAGCGCAATGCTAGCAGAGTCTTTCTTTTATGGCTCGATTTTGGCGTTCTCGAGAAAGACTGTAAATGAATCGAGTAAGATCTTTGTTGAGCATCCACTGTGCTGTGTGTTGCTGGGATACAGTTCTGAAACCCAGGCCTAATATAGCCGTTCGCTTGGTACAGCGGGTTTAGTTCAATAACCCGATGATCGAACTCGGAAAACCAGTTTGACAAGTGAAAACAAGATTGACTTGTCAAGAAGTTCGGGATTTGGCGACGTCAAACGCTTGACGCGGTTCGGGCAGAGCATCCCTTTCTCCTCCTCACTCAAGAAGACAAAAGCTAAAGAGGGGCCGCTTGCAAGGTAGCAATGTAACAGTTAAATTACTTAAGTATGAGCTTACTTGTCTGGATCTCCAATTCCAAGAGATTCTTTGGTGGGAGGATAAGAATACTGATAGGGATCCTACAAATCACATTTCAGTTTCAGTACAACAAAGTTCAACAGTATTTTGCATGTCTTTCACTTTGGTACATCTATTATTTTTAATTAAAAACACATGGCTAATTAAACGGTCGGGAAGTAGAAACACAACACTAATGCTGGCAGTGAGCCAATAGGGTAGAGACTGTTGCTAAAATAACAGGATCACACTTGGCAAGTTTTGTGGCTAACCCAGCAAACCTGCAGGGCAGCCAGGCACTCTTTGCATTTCCATGCACCCAAATTCCCCCTTTCTTCCTTCATTTTCAAACGCGGATACCTGCGATGGCTTTTTCTTTGAGCGTGCAAGATAGAGAAAATATTACATCCATAATTTTCGGTCAAAATGGATGGACACTGGTCTTCGCATTTTGTTTTTATGGGCTTCAATGAAAGAACAAAAAAAGAACAAAATAAGAACTCGAGGTTATTTTGACAAATGAGCTAAGTCCAGATTGATTATAATTTTACTTCTCATTGATGGTAGAAACTAAAAAAACGTAAACTATGCAGTTTTATTTGCTGAATCACTAAAATGCTGGTACTCACAGTTCCACCTAATCTGGTGAGAAGTTTATCTTCATCTACAAGTTCTTTTAGTTCCGCTTTGCTTAAAAACCTACATTGTTACAAAATTAAATAAAAGAATCACTTGTTGAAATGACTTGGGGTTTTTTCTCAGACTGTTGCTATTAAATTGTCCACATTCAATTATTGTCGTCATTATCATAATAAAATTCACTGAGCCAGCAAGAAAAGAAAGGACAATAGCACCAACCCTGAGGGCTGGGGCATGAAATGGGTACATGTTGCAAGGGCATAAAATGGAGACCTGTTGCAAGGATGTGAAACAGGGACACATTGCAGGGGTGTAAAATAAGGACATGTCACAAGGATGTGAAATAAGGACATGTCGCCAGGTGACGTGAAATAAGGATGTCTCAGGGATGAGAAATAAGGACATGCTCTAGGGGTATGAGATAAGTAGTGAGGACATGAAGTAGGGACATGCTGCAGGGGAAATGAAACGGAACCAAGTTGCAAGGATGTGAAATAGGGACATGTTGCAGGGACGTAAAATAAGGAAATGTCTCAGGGACGTGGAATAATGACACGTTGCAAGGATGTGAAATGGGGAATGTTGCAGGGAGATAAAATGAGGAAATCTTACAGGGATGTGAAATAACGATGTTGTAGGGACATGAAATGGGGACATGCCCTAGGGTCATGGGATAGGGGCATGTTGCAGGGGCACAGAATAAGGACAAGTAGCATGGACATAAAATGGGAACATGCTGCAGAGGTAAGAAATGGAACCATGTTGCAAGGATATGAATTCAAATAGGAACATGTTGCAGGGACGAAAATGAGGACATGTCACAGGGATGTGAAATGATGACATGTTGCAAGGACGTGAAATGGGGACATGTTGCAGGGACATGAAATAGGGACATTCTGCAGGGGTATAAGATAGGGACATGTTAAAGTGGAACAGAATAAGGACAAGTAGCAAGGGCATGAAATGGAGAGATGCTGTAGGGGAGTGAAATGGGGTTTGCTGGGAGATGACAAACCAGTCTGAAAGCTAAAATTGTAGAAAGTTGATATCTGACCAACCTCAATGGATTCAGGTGAAGTTTAATTGTTAGCTCATACCTGATTTTATTCACAGCTTCAGGGCTCAACCATGACTTGATAATTTTCCAAGCAGCTGTTATTGATGAAAAAAATTAAAAAAACACAAAAAAACACTTTACCAACTGTGAAGGAAACACTCTTCATTTTAAACAGTAAAACAGGAATATTTTGTTCATCAAGACTACTTGTTCTATAAGCTAGGCTGCACGCTTCACCTAATGAATTATATTCACAGTTTGCAAAGTGATTAGAGAACAAAAATGAGTCAAATAACATAGCATTAATCTTAGTAACCTAAATGAAAAGAAAAAAGAAAATAACATGGTCTAGAATGGAAGAAATTGAATGGAAGAGAATAAAAAAAGAATATGATGGAATGGGATAAAATAGAATGGAATAGAATAGAACAGAAGAGAATGGAATGGAATAAACTGAAATAGAACAATTGAATGAAATGGAATGAATACAACAAAATACACTGAGAAAAGCGTTGCAGTATAAATTCACAAGCCATACCTGATAAAATCCATGGTAATTCAATAACTAATAACAAGGCTAAGGATGAAGGAAAAAGAATGTTGTTGGTTTTACTTAACATAATTTGAATTAACACCTTTTGAAATTTGCATCTAGTAGACATTGCTTTTAATAATGGAGCACACCATGAGCTAGATCTGACACAACACTATGCAAAGAAGAACAAATACTAAATTTCTTGATTTGTGATGTATTTCGCAAGAAGGTCACACACTCGGTACAAATTTCTAGTCCTTGCGTCATTAAATCTTGTTTAATCCACTGTTTCCTTTCACCGTTCCTTCGCTAGCAAATACAAATACATCGACAATACTCAATACTTGAAAAAACTTGTTTATGCAACGGCATCAAACTGAACTATCAAACTACAAAAGGGAAAATAAAATCCACGCGAAAACATCGATGCTTAGGGTCAAAATTTTGTGACTGACTAACTACAGCTTAGTCACATGTTCAAAAACAAAGAAAATACATTAACATAATTGAAATTCGTGGGGAAAAGACAAGACATGATCCTCACCTAAAGTCCTTGGGAAATAATCCCTGAAACAACTAATAATAAATTTTACAAATTCCATGTCCTGCAAAACAAAAAAACCCTTTCCATAAGCTACCCAATTGTGCAGTTTCCTGGAAAGAGTAAGTTAACATAACATACATGTAACATTATATTGCTAATCTAACCATTTGAGCCAGGCCTGTCTGTTGCATGTCAAAGATCATGGTTATTTTCCGTTCTGGAAACATTCTCGCCTGCAAAAGTAAGAATATTATCAGAGGCAGATCCAGACCCTCAGAAAAAATTTTGTGGCCTCAGTTTGGTCTAAAAATAAGGGGAGCCCCTTCCCTGGATTCGCCACTGATTATTAATATTATTTCTATTCATTTTTGTTAGAAGTCACTCAGGGTTTGTTCCAGACATTCCTTAAATTACTCTTCTAAAAACTAATATTTCAAACAGCCAAAGTTGACAATCATATGATTGGAGAAACTATAGTTTAATATAACTCTTGATCACATTGGTTCATACTCACATGCTTTTCTAAGAGAAAAACAAGAAATCGTTTTGTTTCTGAGGATTGCTGGGGGTCTTTCTTGTGCAATTTGCCTGTGAAGATGACTAAAGGAAAAAAATTCATTCAAAGACCGATTGACAGAATATATTATATAAAGAATATAATGACCTATGATATAAAATAAAATAAAGTAGTTAGCAGCATTAAATTAAAAATAACATGAGTTACCCAGAGTGTTGCCATCTTTATCTTGGTTATGTGGAAAGAGGAAACCTGCCTCAAACAGTCTACGGTCAATAGATCTTTCTGTAAGTTCTGTTTGACAAAAATAACAAGTCATAAAGTCTTACTTTAACTTAGTTAAGTTAATTTAGCGAGTGAGTTTTGTTCATATCATTTTATGAAATAGCGGTAATAATTTATTATTTGTTTGTTGATAAATTTTTATGATCATACCATTAACTCCAAATGACTTTCTCCACTTCACACATTCAACCTTGTAAAAGCAGGAACTATGTGTTAGCCTAGATACCATACATGGTTAGATGTCATGTACTTGTTTGAGAGCAGGGCCGAGTTGTTCAAAGCTGGGTTAAGGTAACCCAGGGTTAGTGCGAGATTTGAATTCAGATTTGAAAGCTTATAAAGCATTTCAGTTTTAATTCTTTTTGTCTACAATTTGATGATTGGAAGCTCCAAAAATAACAGAGAAAATTATCCGAGAAAATGCTTTTGAACACAAGAAAAAGAACAAGGGTCAAATTTAACCCCGGGTTAAGCGCTTATCAGCGTTCGAACAACTGGGCCCAGATGTTATTTAACTGAAAGAGGGTGGGTTTCATTCTGTGTTTTGAAATGTTGGATTAAATGGAGGACTCTCAGTTTTGAAGCAAATGCAGACTCCTTTATACATTGGAAATATTAGTCATAGCATATTTGCTACTAACATACATCAAAATCTGCACCAGAGGCTGTTTCAACCATCACGAACACTGCACCCGTCCCACTAAATAGTAGTCGTCAGAGTATACTATGGGGATGGGGGTTGGGCTGAAGAGATGGCTGTCATTTCAGACAAATTTTGGGTAGGTAAGAAAAATCACTTGTCTTGCTTTGAAACAGAATTAGAGTTTCAAAATTACCATCATCTGGTAAATCTGAAGAATGGCTGCGCCAAAAATCTTTTGGCTGTTTGTCAGTAGACTCTTGACCAACAGTCTGCCGACAGACAACTGACAGACGGGCAACACAAGACCAATGACAAATGGCAGATGTTTGGCAGACAAGCGGCCAACAGTCACTTGACAGTCTACAGACAAACAGCTGACAGATTTTTGTGGGATCTGCTCTTCAATTTTACCCATTATTTTCCGTTGGTACCCCACTCCTAAAACAGGACCTTTTTCAAGAGAGGGGGGCTTTTGGAGGGGGGTGGGGAGGGTGAGGGCTGGTGGGGAAGGTGGCTTTATGATGGGAGACTGGTGAAAGAAAAAAAAAATAACCGATGGAGGTTGCAGGGAATAGCCTGTTCCCGATAACCCTATAATTTTTTCTCTCCAAAGAGCTACAGTGAGCTTACTGAGAGATGTAATTTAACTCACCAAGGCCGGTAATGCGTCATTAACTTCCTGTCTTCGGGCCTGTAAAAACCGGCTAAGCCAAAGATCGTCATCGCGAACTCTTTTTACGTCTTGCTCACAGAACTCATGCAAATTTGAGCCTAAGAAATGAGCATGGATTAAATCACGAGACTGACAAACTGTCGAGCAAAACATCGATCAAAGGGGAACACTGCCATGCACACTTGCTTACAACTTACCGTTTTCTTGAAAAAACCGCCTTCTAAGCTCACTGATTCTGTACCTTTCCAGCTCATTCTGTCAAGAGAGAAAAACCGGTCGTGTCTCAAGTTCATGAAATCAAAACAAATGCAAAATAGAACTTCCATTCCGATCCCGGTTACCTCATCTGCCATCTTAACATTTCTTCGGCCACAATCGGAAAATTTCGGATGACTTCGTGAGCTCGAGACCCCGTGATCAGACAAAAAGCAAATGGCGGGAGATGTGAAAAGTACCTGTAAAATGCCACTATCACTGATTACCTGCTAACTTCATTAGTTTGACCACTACGAGAGTGATTTCAAAACAAAATACATTTTTGATGAGTACTTCAGGGTAAGTTATCTTCAACTGAGGGGAGGAAAAAATGACGTGGTCTATAGGTGTTAATTCAAGGTCAATAGACTTATGGATCGAAGCCTGCTTCTGATTTCGTGTGTGATTTTATCTATTGAACATTCTCTGGGGAAATCAGTCTCCGTGGATTTAAATTTAGCCCCTGAATGGAAAGCTGAGATAACAAAGAGAGCATCGGACTACGGTAATACTAAGTTTTATTTGGATTGCTTTCGGGGTTAGAAACAACAAAGAAAGATCGAATTTTAATTCGATCTTTCTAACCTTGTCATGAAACCTTTTTGACGAGCTTTTATTTGATCGATAAGCTTAGATCTATGAGTGATGCGTGAACGGGGAACCCTCAATTTATTTTTAATCTTACTTGTAAAATCTTATTATCGAACAGTGCAATCGTTGTACGTTGAAATGTAACGAATGACAAGATAATTTCGCTCGTATCGGTTTCAAATGAATATGTTTGAATTCTCATTATGATTCTGATGGTTTGGTGTCCATTTAACATCTAATTCACCTGACAATGTTTTGTGAGGATTTTCTGTTTTCCCGGTGGGGTGCCAATTTGAAACTCAGCGGGTAGTATTTTTTTTAGTTACCATGTTCACTGCTTTTTTTAATCTTAACATCTAAGAAACAAAACAAAACAAACGGAAACGAAGAATGACAGTAGTCGCCTGCGTGCCGTCTTTCTTAGCTTCTGTTCGTTTGTTCTTAGCATCAGGGTAGAGTTATATTACTTTGAATCACCATTATAAACATAGCTGAAGTTTCCCCCTTCCTGTCAAGTTTGGTAGAGTTCACTTCACCAGCTGTTTAATTGATTTCTCTCCACTAGTTAATCAAATAATGACCAGAAGATAAAATACGTCAATGAATTGTCCATATTGATATCAGGTCTGTCACTAAAGGCCACAGAGCCCAGGGATTTCCCCTTTTTCTTTCATAGTTCTGTTTCTGCAGTCTTTTGGCATGTTTTTGATTACTGACAAGATTATTTTGTCATTACAGTCACAGAATGGAATTTCATAGTCTTATCTTCATGTAAGGCAGCTTTCACACCTGGTGCCCAGGCAAAGTGCCCAAGTATGCTACTTGCTGGGCACTAATGTGAACACAACCTTTTAATTTTGGAAGTACTCATGCTAGAATTCAGGCACAGTGCCGGTACCCAGTAGTACGCAGGCACAAAAGTGGGCACCAGGTCCCTGTGTGCACACCGTTTTTCTCAGTTCTGGGATAGTCCACTGCTTTCTACTAGTTGCTAAGCTCATGTTTCAGAATGGCATCTGACAGGGTGAACTGGAGTAACTAACGTACACAGTTACATATCAGGCACCTTGGGGGTTAACACGACACTATTTTTTGCGCCAATACCTGGGCACCATGTGGACATCCACTTAGGCAGGGTTCACACTTGGTATGTACCTGGGCACAATACGGTACTCGCTGGGCACTAATGTGAACAGACCCTTTTTTCAAGTAGCCGAGCTAAAATTTGGGTGTGTACAAGGTCTTGACCTTGTACACGGGTACAAAAGTGGGCACTGGGTCCCTTTGTGCACACAATATTTGTAAGTTCTGGGCAGTCCACTGCTTTGTTCTTGCTGCTAAGCTCTTGTTTCAAAATGGCGTCTAACAGGGCGAAATGGAGTCACTATGTACACTGTCATATATCGGGTACTCAAACTGTGAACACAACCCTATTTTGTGCTGGTAATCAGGCACTGGTTCCTGGGCACCGTGTGGACAATCCCTTTAAATTCTTGTTAAGTTCTGAGCCCCGCCCATGTTATAATTTGGGGACTGGGATGATTTGTGTTGATCAGAAGTGGGGGGAGATTGGTTGATATTGTGGGGAGTACTACAAAAGAGGCAGTCTCCAGATTTTAGATCTTTCTCTAGAGATTTGAGTATCTGATGAGATGCTTGGCCGAAATAGAAACTGTGTTGTTTGAAAAGGAGTCCTGTGGTAGTATTGATAAAAGAGAGTTCCAACCCTAACAAAAAGTGTGAAATGTCATGAAGAGAATCAAGGAAGAGGTGTGAACAAGCATTCTCAATTTGGTGAGGGAAATCACTCAGAGAATAAGGTCAAACAAGTTTGGATTTAACAGGGAACTGTGTGTCTCTAGTTGGCATTCTTGGCATTTTCTTGGTAATAAAATTATCCTTTTGTTGCTTTTGACAGTGCAGCACATTATTCTTCCATTTGTTGCAAAAGAACTCAATGACTTGAGTGTACCAAATATCGATGGAAACATCAAGACCCCACTGGGGGATGTACAGTATGATCTCTCCAAGTAAGTCTATATCCTTGTTTTTATGAATGGAAAAGACTGAGGAGAAGAGGACAGATTGCATGAATGCATCCTTTGAAAAACCTTACATCTTTCAAGTGTTCCATTGAAGAAGTGGAATGCACTAAGGACACATTTGGAGAAGGCATTGGGATTTACTAGCAAGACTTAGTCCTTTCGGGATGTGGAGCCAAAGAGGAGGATTATACACATTTAAACAAAAGTCTTTACGGTAATGTAAATCTTTTTTTTCAGGATCAAGTTATCAAATGTGGTGATTCAGAAGTCCAATATGTCTTTGATACCAGAGCACGGCTTAAAGCTTCTGGCTGATCATGCCTCAGGGAATGTTGAAGCTGCCTGGCACTATAAGGAGAGTGCATGGTAAGCAAGGACGAGCAATATGGCTGAGTGGTCAGTATGTGGGACTCGCACCCTGGAGGTTTTGGGTTTGGGTCCAGTCTAACCACTGCCTGCATTTGTTTTTAGTCAAGTTCCAAGTCCACTTCCTCCGCTGCATGATTGTAAGTTGCTAACAGGTTACCCCCTGCAAGTTGTGGCTTTCAGTTCTACAAATTTACATAGTAATAAAGTAATAATAATTATTACTTATTATTATTACTTTGTTTTAATATTCAACTGGAGTGTCTAGAAACTGGCCAGAGCAGCTGAGCGCATCCCCTTCTTCTATAAATAAAGGATGAATAATGTATTTTGATCGCCAGACAACAGCTGCCTTGAGTAAAATTCTACACGATTTCATAGGCAGCTATGCTGAGGAAAAAAAGAAACTCCTTGGGGTCATTTGGGAAGAACCTCATTCAGTATAAACAGTCCATGTGTTTAACGTTGTTTCTTTTCCTGTCTAGGCCGCATATTTCTGATTCAGGAACATGTGTGCTGTCAGTCAAAGATCTTTCACTGGGAATGGCTTTTTATGTTGACGGTTAGTAAGTTATAATATACCCAACTCGAGGCTGAGTCGCCATGTGATGCAAAGATATTACCACAGGCATCAGGGATCATTTATTTTTTTATACGTTTTGTGGGAAACTGCCCACCTACCCCTCCCCTAAGCCAACATTTTGCCCTAACTGAGAAGTAAGTATTAATGTTGGCTTAGGGGAGGGGTAGGTGTGAAATTTCCCAGAAATGTATAATGATCCGGCATGGATCATCAGCACATAAAAAGTAACATGCTGTTACAATGGTGATGTGCCACTCAACAGATTCTGCACCTGCATAATGCTTGTTTCATCTGTACATCAGCCCTTAAAAATAGGTTCAAAGTAAATATCTTTTCCAGTCTAGGATTTTGAAGTGCCATAATTAGATCTGACCAGACTAGCGGTGGGTGACTATTTTTTTTCTTTTTTTGGCTTAAAGGTGATTTGGAAACAAAGGATGCTAAGGTCAGTGCAAAGGATTGCTCAATAAACATCGGCACCTTACATGTCAAATTCAAAGGAGGAGCAAGGTAATGACCAATAATTTGTTTCTCATTGGATTTTCAACAAAACAAAATTAAACTAAATAATGTACAGTTAAATAACCTACAGTTCTTGTTTTTAAGATCCTGATGTGAGGGAAATTTGCCAATTTTAGCTATCTGCCCTCAAAATAATAATCTTAATATCCAACTGCCCTCATTGTGGTCACCCATGGGACTGTGAGTGGGTGTCTGTAGTTGTTAGAGCCCTTAGTGGGACTTAATTTCTTTCAAACGTTAATAGCGAGGCATCCTCAAGACAAGTTCACAGCCACTGTACTTATGAGCTTTTTACAGCTGGTAAGTCATGTTGTACGAATTAAAATACCATGCTGGGAAGCAAAAAAAACAAACAAAGCCAGGGTTTTCATTTAGAATTCTAGTAGCAGGATGAAGATGTAATGTTACAAAGCGTCTCCATGTCTGAATAATAAAGCGTCCTAGGCTACCAAATATAAGCCAGAGAATTCAGAGCACTAAACAGAGAATTCTCCAATCTTCAATGCCTAATGAGCACTCTGAACAAACCACTGTGATGACACAAAGAAAACTAGCATTTTAAATGATGTGAGCTCTTTGTTTGTCTTATGGCAGTGTGTCCCTTGCATTCCGGCATGATGTTTCTGACCAGCTGCAAAGCATGCCTATTGGTCTATAATTCTACAATGAGGACTCATAGATTTAGACTTAATTCTAGTCTTAATTGATTTCAACTTGTTCCAGAAACAAACAAAAAAAAGGTCTATATACAATTACCCACAAAAGAGTGCCATGTAATTAATTTTAATATAAACAGAGAGGTTAAAAAAAAGATTGATTTTCTCTGCAGCTGGCTTTATAACATGTTTGCTGACGGACTGGCATCACACCTGAAAGATCAGCTGACCAAACAGGTTAAAAATTCTATCAATTATATTATTTTGTAATATTTTTGCTATGCAGTTTTCTTGTGAAAGCTTAAAAAATAATTTATACAAACCAATATAAACTCTGTTCTCTGTTCTATTTCTCACAAGTCAACAGATGTAGACATGAATCAGACACTTGCACAAATTTAGTAAAGAAGCTTTGGTTTAAATTTCTTAATTAATTTTTACTATTTTTCTGATAAAGATATGTGATGCAGCTATCAACATGATTGACTCCAAAGCTACCAAGACGCTGAATACATTTCCAATGATTATGAGGAAATTTGCCACAGCATATATGCATTAATCACACAAAAAAACCAAGCAACGATACAAGGACTAACTGACAGCCTTTTTGTTCATCTCCTCTCATCAAGGGCAGCAGGAATATTATGCAATGTACTTTCCAAATCACAAAGCAATGCAATAATAATGTAAAGTTAACATAAAATGTTTTTCACCCCAGACTTCATAAGCTCTATGTCTGCTTTAAACTGCTTTCTACTAAGCATAAAATAAGCTAAGAAATATCAACAAAACATACAAATAATATTACTGATAGGAAATGAAGAAAGTTAAAAAATACAGATATAATATGTAAATGTTACAAACAATAACTCACTGTTTGTAAGACATGAATAATTTATTTTTTACTCCAGTAAGAAGGTTAGGAATTGAAGACACCTTATATTAAGAATTATAACAAATCAAATGACATAAACTCTTGCTGTGACCCTACCATGCAGTTAGGACCACTTACATGATGGCTTTAAATAATCTATTAACACTTATAAATTTGGGGACCTTTGTTATTGGTTATTTCTGTAGTGGCTTCGCTTCCATTATTTGCACCCTATTTATTATTTGTCTTTTTTTGTTGGTGTTAATTAAATCATTATACAAAATATGGTCCAGCCATTTTTTAATATTGTAGTCATAAAAGCAGAGTATTATGAAGTGTATGCAGAGTTCAGATTATTATCTTGTGAACACAAGACTTTCATAGTCAGGAGCACTGCCATTGTTTTTTCCTCACCTTCTGCTCGTGACTGTGACAATATGCCTTTCACTTTAGATCGGAAGCAACAAAGTTAAAAGGGGAGTTGGAAAAAAATGGAAAAACTCTGATTCTTGTGCTGATTCCACCGCGCTTCTGACACTCCGTATTTAGATTTTCAATAGTTCCTTTAAGAACTCTTGACACTCAGATTACACCTAAGGCTCTGTAAGTTATATAAAGGGCTGATTTACACAAAATAATGATGCAAGCAAAAGAAAGAGCACAGGTCATTCTAACAATTACTACCCAGATCATCACAGAGTTGTCACAATGAAATTTATTTGTTTTTCTTCTTTTACATACATATTTAAATTAATCTTTTCCATACCAAATATCATATACATCAGACTTTCTTTACAGACCAAACTATTCCTGTCCTTGGTTTCATATCAACCAGGTATTCTTGGCTTAGTTAAAAATTTATGTACTCTCCAAAACCAATAATAGATTTCTCTTCACAGAATGTTCTGGTAACTTTGGATTAATTTAGGTTTCTGGCAAACTGCCCACCTACCCCTCCCCTACCTCAATGTTAACATTTGCATCTCACTTGGGGCAAAATGTTGGGTTAGGGGAGGGGTAGGTGGGCAGTTTCCTAGAAACCTTAATTGATCCGTAACTTTTGCAGCTAAGTGATCAATTTTAAAATTTTTCTATTTTGGAACTTTAATGTCTTGTGGTACAAAATATTTTTAACAGTTAATTTTTAAAACCACAAAAGAAAGCAGTCCTTGAGAAATATTACCATGTAAAATACCCTTGGTATGACAATAACTGTACTACAGCTTCATTTTCTTGGCTGCAAAGATAACAGAAGTGACGCACTCGCTTAGCAGCTTACTGGCTCAGAAACCGTGATACTTGACTTTGTTGGTAAAAGACGCTGAATTTTGTCTGTCTCCATAAAATGCTGTCGTGGACTCTTATGGGAGCATTCCTTATCCAGACCACCTTGCAATTGAACAGTTCAAGTGGCTGGAGATGTACATCCTTATGGTCTTCCCCTTGCAGATAATGTATCCTCCATTTAACATCACACTACTCTGTACCTGTAAAACTGCATAAATGCCTGACCAATATTCCAACCCACAGCAAGGGAGACAATGTACCCTATTACGACCAGTAGGACTGGATAAAGCAGGACTACTGTTTTACGAAGAAATGGCAATGCTGTGAATAAAAAACAAAAACAATAAAATTAATTAATGAAAATCAAGGGTGCAAGGACCTCACTTTCATCTCACTTAATTCAAGCCAATATGCACATAATAATTACAGTGTGTGTATTAAGGGCCCCAAAATCCCATCTCCAAACTTTTCTTCATGCTTTTGACAATGTGAAAAATGAGTTTATGAGCAGGGGCAGGGAAGAAATCAACAAAAGACAATTTTTTAAATTTTAATTTTTCAGAGGACACTTCAATCAACTTACCACTATATCCTAGGAATGAGATGTAGATATAATAAATCAGAGCGATCAGCCAAAGAGAATTACCAATAAATCTTGAAATAAACAGTGGATGATCTATTATAACTAAAAAAAGAATGATAACAAAATTAATGAAAGGTCAATAGAACCCTTTATAAAATATAATTATTATTTGAATTATCTTAACAAAGGTTGCCTGAATTTGAATTCCCACTATATTAATATAGATATTCATTTCCTGTTTGTTTATAAATGGTGCTATCCATTTAATGTTTGGGTAAGATATGGCATAGTCTGTGCTTTAACCAGAAAACATTAAACTGACACTACTGAAAGAGCAAGATACCAGTATAATTAGGTGGCAAACCTTTTGTAGCTATCAGCTATCAACTTTAAATCAGAAGTGCATGTAGGCACAAGGTCCAGAAATTATAATCTGCCATAATGATAAAGTCATAAACAAAAAGTTGCATCTGTGAATTAGGTGGAAAGTGTTAGTACTAGCTGCCAAACTCCTACTCCAAGCAAATTTCATTGGGCCGCAGTGATGCAAAGATACTGTGCATTAACTCACTAGTAAGAATGAAATAGGTACAGAATAATTCATTAACAAACAAAGGGTATTTACTCTGCATACAAAAGAGTTGGATAACATGCAGTATCAGCAATAGCGGAAAGAAGGCATTGAGGTGAACATCAAATGCGTATGCCCACTCCACTCTCTGGCCTGGATCATAGGCAGTAGATATGCGTAAATATCTGTTGCAGAAGAACCTGTGAACAAAACACAGAATTGATAACTAACTACATATTACTCTTGTATCCTTTAGTGGATGCAAGTTTAAATATAGAAGAAATGGTTACTGACTGTACTAGAAATTATTGCATTTTTCAGTTTCATTTGAGTTATTTACAGTTGAAAATGATAACAGAAAAATGACGTTTCATGTCAATATTGGAACTGATAAAACAACTAATAATATTTAATTAGTTAATGTAGAATAAATTAATTTATTTGATGGATTAGGGATCTACTGTACCTTGGCCGAATTATTTTGATGAGTAAAAACTCATTATTGCAAAGTCATTTTGAAAGTCACTTGCCAACCCTGACAATGTTTGATAACTTCAGTGAAACTCTGCATTTTTGTACACAGACAGTAGTTGTACAACGTTTTTGAAAGCAATATATGGTTTTAACTTACCATAGCAATGAAGCTATGACGAGACCAACACCAATGCAATCCACAAAAACAACCCATAATAAGAACTTCAAAAATCCTATAAACGGAATATGAAGTGCAATAGCAAAGCCAATTGACGACACTGTCAAGAAAGACAAAGAGTCGCCGGTTACAACAAGGATCACTCCCTTGAAAAATAACCAAATTAAAAACAAAGTAATAACAGCATATTAAGTAAAAAGGAGAACAACATTCTCCAGACAATCAAGAATGTACAATTAAGTCGCCCCATTTTTTTACCTGGAGGGGAAGAAACTGCAATAATACAACTAGGAAGATACAAAACTGAAAGCAAAATTATACTGCTTCATTGGGAAAAGGAGACAAGCAGTTTGGTATCAGGTGAAATTACTCAAAAGACTGGAAGACAACAGAAAAAGAAAACAGACCCACAAGCAACAGGAAAATAATAATCAAGAACTTCCTGGCCTTTCAATTCCCCATGACTGTGTATTCAGTGTACCAGGCAAATTGAAATCTTAGGGGCAGCCCTCGAGAAGGGTAGCCAAAAGTGGCCTTGGGTGAGGGTGTCAAACTTGGACAAATAGTGAACAATTTGAAGTCACAGGGATTGTTGCAACAAATGGCAGCTTACCACACAGCCAAATGCTAAGTAACACAAGAAAAGCTGGATCATCCCTGGCCCACTGGTCTTTAGTTTCTGGGTAAGAAATAGACACCATAACATCAGATATTTTAACCTACATCTTACGTCTTAGTCAACTTGATCCAATACTATCATATTATAAATAATTTTATTTATTCTTGTTCTAAATAAAGCACATTCCTAGTTTTAAAAATCTGACCTTAATAATGTTTCATGGTCAAATGTGCTGTGTTCAGCTCTTGTCTATTTTACTTTATTGGTTTAATAAAACTGCACCCAATTTTAAAAACAATAGTGATTAAAATAACAAAACATGTCGGATGCACGTATACTCACGTTTGTGATAATGAAAGTTGCGGTATCTAAGAAAATTAAAAGGCAACAAATACAGAAATTAATGTTGATAACATTTTAGAAAATACAGTGTGACCTTAGAAATATTGTGCGTAAATCGATATCATTTGAATCAGTTTATAAATTTTGTAAATTTATTAATGAGTCTTTTGCAGATAACTAATAACACAAGGGGTCAAATTACCTGCATTTATGTTATGCACTTAAATGTCATTAATGCTAAGCAGGGTTGTCACTAGGACTTCAAGTTGCCAGGTAAATACAACAAGTAGGTGGGGAATCAAACAGCTATGGATTCCTTTTGGTTTTATTTTTCTTCTATTTTCAAATGAAAGTATCCAGGGGTGACATTCATAGTACATGAAGCCAAGGAAAATCCCCGGCCTGATTATTGTGGGAAAAAACTAACTTCTTGTTGGCAAACTTGTGTGTTGTCTTTTTAAGAATTTGATCAGCTAAAGCACATTAAAAATTCTGAGCTCCAATCAAGAATTGAACTCACAACCCTCCAGTTCTAGATCCAACATTCTAACCACTGAGCTACTTGAACTCTATGGCAAATTCACTGATGTTCCTTTTCCGAATGCGGTACAGTAGCAAAAATAAACAGAATTCTTATAAAGAGTTTTTTCTAATAATAATATTGATCAGGTGGGTCAATCCGATCACTTCCGATGATCAATATTATTATGAAATCTCAGCCAACTCCCAACACTATCTGTCAGTGCGTTACCACCTGCTAGTTGCCGCTTTCAGGGATGTCATGGTTACATGTGCTATACATGCTCAGCCTGTACGATGTGGCTCCACCAACCTCACAGGCCTCTTTCCCATGTTCACCTATTTGCGACTATTCGACTACCTGCGACTTTCATGTTCCCCATAATGCAATTTGTTTTCCCCACAAAATTTTGCACAGGTAATGGTTTCAATTTCTCGTGGGACTAATTGTCCCTTGGGGAATTGAAAGCAAAACTTATTTGGCGGGTTGCTAGCAGTCTACAAGCATTAATTTTGGCAAAGAAAAAATTATACACCAAGGTAGGATAGAAAAAGTATGAAAGTAGTTTAAAATTAGAATGCACAGAAACAGAAGTCAAGTTACAACAGCTGCACCTATTAGGCAAGAAAATGTTCAACGTATTAGCTGGATTCTTGCTGTCATCCAACCAAAAGCAGGTGTGCAAAACAAAAATATCCACGCAGCACAACATGTACCGCCACAATATAGATAGCAACAATACTTACACTTTCCTTGGTGAAATGCATAAGTATAGCATCTGCCAGAGAGCAAATTCAAAATCCATATGTCGATATTTCAAAATTCGTCGAAGATACTTGTACTGCATGGAAGTAGACAAACACCTTGAACGCTTCTTCGATGGCGAAGAATACGACGAGTTTGCAGGTTCTGGTAACATGACTATAAAAAAGTTCAATCTTTTTAAGAATCAAGCAAATAATCGGTGTTAAAAGTCGTTCTTCCACACTATTTTCCTTCCAAAATCGCCTGAAAATGTGCTGCACAATAAACTTTACTTCGTTGGCATATTCTACGCATGCGTTGACACGTCAAAGTCTTCCATGATTCTTTGCACGATAAAAACAACAAAGCGTCACGCACAGTTTACACGGCGTCACGCACCGGGAATATTCATTACTTTCCGATACTCAGACGTAAACGTGAGAAGATAAGCAATACTTTTTATTTTTTTCTTCATATCACTTTAATGGCTTCTTTTAATTTCATTGTTGTTATTTTTAAAAGAGCATTTTAGTTAGGTATTGTAGTATTATATGTATTGTATTAATATTCACTTCATTTTTTAAATTTCTTCATTTTTATTAATTAAAACTAGTAATAACCAAAGGTTACGGAATTCGAAGGTCCAGCGCTGTGCTTTGCGTAAGTTTCACGTGACAGATGGTCAAAACACGCGTGATCAGTTTACGACTGATAGAAGGTCCACACGCACTTGACATACATGCGAAGCATGCGTAATAACAACCTCCTCTTGTCGCCCGCAAAAGTAACTTACTCTTTATTTTCCTTTAATTTATTTATTTAGTTACTTAACATATATTGCTACATTCATCACGTTTCCGTTCTTTTCTTTTTGTCTTTTATGCTATTTATGTTTGTAGTGAGGTTATTTTCCTTCAGAACTCTTGTATCATATTTCCAACTGTAGCGCTTTTTGTACCAGGGGGGGCTGGCAGCGAGGTCTGGAACCGAGTTTACATGATCGCCCCAGTTAAGAAATTCGGCCGAGTGAGACTGAGTACAAATTTTCCTTGAAAACAAATATGGCGGAGAATGGGGACACGGAAGGACGATGAGTTTTTGCTCAGTTTTAAGTCTTCCCGCGCACAAATATCAAGAAAAGGTTTCTATGAACTTTTTTTAATGGACTTTTTGGACATCAGGAGGCGTGATCTATGAACAGTTCATGGGTGACTTCACTTATCGTGATTCGGGATCTCGGCAAGTTCAGTTATAATTTTCGAGCGACCATCTTGCTTTAATTCTTATATTTTTCCACTTACAGTGGTATTAAGACTCTCTTCCTTATCTTAAACACATGCTACGGGCACAATATATTTGTATGAGTCTTGTAACAGTCATATGTGAATTTTCATTAAACCACTGATTTTCTACTTCGCTGTTCGTAAGTTTGTTTGTGTACACCGGGAGGTACAACAAATATTTATGGGCGTAAATACAGAATACAGGGCCAATTTAGTAAAAACCAGGGTAAATATTCCAATCACTTTGCTTCACATATACTGGGTCTGTCAGTATAAGCTATTTTTAATATCAGAAGGCTGGGAGGGGTTTACTGAACCTTCAAAACCTTCACTGGAATGTCATTGGTGTGATAATCAGTAAATTTCCAACAGTAAAACCGTATTTAGTAGTTTTGTATTAGATAGTGACTTCGGTTTCAAGTATTTCCTTGAAATTGTTGGTACAAAAATTACCCATTATTTATGAATTATAATACTTGAAATGATTATAGTGGTTTAGTGTAAGAACAAGAGGCTAATTCAGTTGCTAATAAGAGTGAGTACATCAGGAAAGAGTATGCGTTGAGAAAATCCCTTAAAGGACTGAAGTACAAGAAACAGAAAAAAGAAAACTGAATGTTTTGCAAAGTTTATAAAGAGAATCAGAAGAGGCTTGAAAAATACACAACTTAAGTTTATTGTTTGTGTAAGTTATGAATCTGATTTACAACTAAATTATACCAGGTAAAATTGATTTTTTATCAACCATCAAAAGAAGTTATTGTCGGGCTTGAGGCCTATCCTCTCAGCAGTTCTTTCTATGATACTGCCCTTAGTGTATTTGGTCTAGATGGGTATGTGCTGCTGATTTAGGGTGGTGACCATTTCACCCTTTAGAGTTTTAAACAAGGTGTCTGTTTGGGTTGTGAAGGTTGAAGAAGCAGCGGTCTATAGAGTACAGTCTATTGGTACCACCATTTCCCCCGCAAGTTTTGCCATGTTTCTAAGTTTAAAAGCTACCTTAATTCTGTATGCTAAAGGAAATGAATCAGGATTATAAATAAGGTCTCTTGGCTTATAAAGGGTAGGAAATGCCCAATGTGTCCTACTACCCATACTCTCTTTCAGTGTAAGCCCAGGAGGTGATCTCACATTTTAATACCCTTTTACCACTTGTTGTAACAACAAAGTCAGTGAAGGTTTATGGTCTCTGAAAAATATTTTTGCCAGCCTCAACACAAGTTTCTTACTGTTATTGTTGACTGCAAATAATATTATCTTAATAATCATTTTACTTTTTTTTTTTCCAAGGCATCGTATGGTGTTTTCAATATCCACTAGTACAAGGCAATTTTTAAGTTGAGAGGGTTTACTTTGATTTCATTAACAGTAAACTACATTTTTACACAGACACAAACTAACCTGGCAGGTTGATGTCCAAGGGTAAAACATTACATGCAATTATATTGCAAAAACTGATCACAGTGGCCAAAGGAAAGGCAAAAAATACAAATGTCATCATTTTTAAATTTTATAAATTCCCTATGAAGCATATTTAGCCAGATGTAGTCCTTGTCAAAACATGCAAACTTGAACATTTATTTTTTGACCTTAGCTAATCTTTTTTAACCATACTCTTGTTCCAGTGGGTAGTGTAGTTTTGGAATAAAATATTTACAATTTTTCCCTCTTTGTTTGCAACAAAACACAATTGAATGAGGACTCAAACTGAAGGCAGTGTAGTAACTGCTTTCATGAAAAGAGAATTCCAAACACACAAAATAATTACCCTTTCATTTGCCTATATCATTTCTTAGAATCTACCGTAAAGTTTAAATTAAGTCACACGAAGATAAGAACTTAAGCATATCAAGAGTGAAATCAATGATCTCTTCGCAAAATTTATTTAGCTTCTTGTACATAAAAAAATACATGAACTACGAGATTTGACCATCTGCCACTCAATCATCCAAAGCAACTCTGCCAGGATAAGTTCACAATCAAGGATGAAGAATTAAGAATCTCAATCATAATTTCTTTTCGTCTTAAAGGTGTAATGAAACCGTAAACAAGTCTGACAACTCTTCTACTTGACCACGGCCACCGCGCTTTTTTAAATATCACGACGGATTAATTTTCGGCCTTTTACTTGAAAATATAAACTCTTCTACATACGCATTGGAGGGTTGGCCCTTCTTCTAGTCTTGTGGGTCTTCTAAACAGAAACACAGCTTGAAAGCCTGTAGTGAGCCAAAAGGTCGGGCATCGAGGAGCATGTACAATGACTGTTCACTGGTCTCATCTTAGCGTAGTAAATCGCATGTAATGACAAACGCAAGATCAGAAGAAAGGAAAACGTAAGCTCCACATTACTGCGGAAAAAATCGGTTACAGCAAAGAAAGCAATGACCAACAGGACCAAAAGCGAATTCACTTCATCACACTGTCGAGTCGCTGCGAAGACGAACTTTGTTGTTGTTCCCAGCCCGTTTCGCGCATGCTCGCTACAGTTCTCGAATGATTGACAGATTTCTTAACTGGGGCGATCATGGAAAGCCGAAAAGCGGCAAGATCAAAAGCCGTTGCCAGCCCCCCCTGTTTTGTACTATACAGTTCACTTTTCTCCGCTTCATTAAATCCCTCGAAGAGGAACGGCTTAACTGTCAGAAATATTGGAAAAAACTCAATCCGCTTTCTTCTTTGCTGGTTTGGCATTATAGTTAACTGCCCTTAGCCCCCTACCCTCCCTTCCCCCCTTCTCCGCCTTTTCCTCTCTTACGCGTACTAAGTACACTTTTTTTGAGAATCTCTACAAAACGTGGGGCTTTTAATGGAGAAACACTTGAAAAGGAACAAATCCAATACTTTTTACTGATACATCATGTTTTATTAAAATGTATTATGTTACAACCTGTAATTAATGTTTTGACCCTTAAATCGCTAAAAGCATACACGGGAATACATAAACAATCTTGACTACTGGCACTGCCTCAATTCAAAATAAGATGTTCTAAGGCCAAAAGAAAAAGCATACAAGACTATACAACATTGATCTCTGAGGCCTTGTCTGACAACTGTTTTTCTTCGCACTCTATTTAGTTTACGATAAATTCACAGAAATACAAATAGAAAAAGACAATAAAAAAATACATATATAGACCTAAAAACTATAACGATCAATTTTAGACTAACGGTAAGCTGCCAGCAGTTTAAACTAAAATACCGCAGGAAGCCATGATTCAACCTATTCTTACTTGAGAAAATTTCTTTTCGAATTTCCGGCGTGTAATCATATGGTACCCTGCGAGCAGAGGCTACTTAGTTTCGATATGTACCACGTATGGCGTAAGAAGGGAGAGAAGCGACGACCGGAAATACATCTGCGGTCGCAGGTTACTGATAACGAGTCCCTAGTTTTCTTATTTCGCGGGCTCTTTCTGAATGAAAGCATGTTGCTAAATTGGGCGCGTCCATTTTCTCTTGAACCCATAGATCATGTAAAACCTACAGATCGTACCGAATTTCGTAGAGGGAAACCAAGGGAACATGCTTACTATTTAGGTTGCACCGTTGGCTTAGTGTCGTTGTAGTTGGTGTCACATCGCACATGATCCTACAACTCCCTCCTGATTTCAATACAAACCAGGTTCTAGCAGCACTTGGGCACAGGGAGCATGCGCTAGCTTAACTTTTTTAGTGCGCCGTAGTGCCATACCGTCACCATAAAAACAGAACTATAGCCCTTTTTCGTAGTTAAAAATTACGGTAATAAAGAAGACGAAACATAAATGGCGATTATTATTATTATTATTATTATTATTATTATCATTATTATACAAATATTCTGCCACTGACGTTCAAAATTCCTTGTCTTATGCTTATCTATTCCTGTAAGCCCTAACAGTGAGCAGCATCTCATTTTTCAAATATTTGTTTATGATATCTCTGTTGTATCAAACATGAAACTGAAAAAGAATAAAGGAAATGATTATAGGTCTTGACCTTAATCGATATTCTCCTCATCAGTACCAAAGGAAACCCATGTTGAACTTTGTGGAGAATATTCATGCTGATGCTTGGAGTAAGTAAGTTAAACAAAGCCTGTAAGATCAGGGGCACCCAACGAGAATATAGTTCAAAACCACTTAGACATAGCATTGTTAAACGTATTTTAGTATTAAAACGGTAGATATAGGCATATTTTTATCCCCTAACATTTTTCATCTGTTCGGATTTCCCAGCTGAAAGTCTAGTGATTCGAAAATTATAGGGATCAAAACTTACCTTTTCGAAAATTTCAGCCAGAAAAAAGGCTCCCGAAAATTGTAGGTGACCCTTTTAGGGTAAAAATCGGTTAAAAATGGGCAATTATACCATTTTTTAGATGTTCGAAAATCCTAGGAGAGGAAGACAAGCAAGAAATTTTGGGAAAAATGTTCCGAAAATTCTAGATCTCAAATCGTCTTCCGAACAGATATTTTCCGAAAATTGTCAACTGTAAAGAACTCCTCAGCGCCGGACTCCACGCAAGCGCGATATCCTTCACGGTGATATGCTGTAAAAAGCGACGATGTAAAAAACTGGTTGACTGTCGAGGTATGGGGGAAGCCCACACACAGCTTATCTGAAATCCAGCGAAGAATTTTCGAGCTTGAATGACAAGATTCGCAACAACAGAAAGTTAGGCGGTCAACATCCTCCGCATTTAGAACTGGTCCTGGACCCCACAATGTTGTATCCAGTTCCTCTCCTGTGTACTGGGCCCAACTTGTGTCTGCTGGAGGCGTGACCCCGTTGTCAGGGTGACGAGGAGCAATGATCATTACCTCACCGGTACCAACCTCCAAGTAACCACCATCAAGTTCCTTGTCGAAGTACCGAACTAGAAATCGATAATGCCTCGGCTGTCGTCCTCGAGGGACTTTTACATATTCTTTATTCATCTGTCCTATGACATCCCGGCCGCCCAGACCAACGAACTCACAATGTAACTGTTCCCTGGCCTGATCCATGGATTTTAAGAGCCATTTGGAGTAGTCTGCGTCACTTGAAATAAAGGTTCCGTCAACGATGAGTATCTTTTTCAGCCTTTTCTTCAGCAGCGAAAGCAGACCATAGTTCTCTAGGCGCCCGGCATCACTTAGAGATAAAACAGCAGGTGGATTGGGTCCGACGTTGTTAACCTGGAAGACCTCGCGTAAAAATCGCACGTGATACAAGTGAACGTGACACCACCTATTACCAACAACACAAAAACACGTATATGGTTTAATACGAGTTCTCCATAAAGAGGCTAGCCCCGCTACAGGCGAAGTATAATTTGAAGTAAAGAGGAATGGAAACCCGAACATGCAAAGAAACAATTAGCAAAAGTATTTTCTTTTCCCCAAAGTGGATTGAAGAAAAAGCGATGTTATGACGCAAAAACATAGGTGACGGAAAGTCATAGTTAGGGCTGGTTTACACGTACGAAGGGAACGTACTCAAAGCGCAACGAACTTGACAGTGGTAGCAAACATATACAGCCAACTCTCTGTTTTAAAATGGAGACCTTTGGAACCGGCAGTAAGTGTCCGTCTTTAGAGAGATGTCTTGCCTGCGTGCAGACGTATCCTATCTCCTTTGTTGCAAAGGAAATAGGAGACGTCTGCACGCAGGCAAAGAGATGTCCGTCTTACAGAGGGTCAAATAAAGGGAGTAAAGGGGTCATCCCGGTGAAATTAACAATTATTCCTCGAGCCCGAATGGGCTCTGAGTCAATAGCCTATGAGGCCGAAGGCCGAATGGGCTATTGACTCAGGCCATGAGGGCGAGAGGAATAATTGTTTTAGTAAAATCCAACTAGTTAATCAGAAAATATCGCGACAAAACAACTTTAGCTAGTTAAAGCTAGTCTTTAATCTTTTTTTGCCGCCAAAAAGCCGGCGCTTTGCGCTACTAGTGGGCTAATTTATTCGTTTTCTTTGGTTTATGGACTATTGTCAGGGTTAGGTTCATTGTTAAGGATGTTTTGATTTCTTTGTTTTACGTCAGCTGTGAGTAATATATTATATTACACCGGAGATGAGCGAGTAAAGAAAGGCAGGGACCAACTTTGGGTGTCCGTTTTACCGAGGTGTCCCTCTAATAGAGGTTTCCGTTAAGAGAGAGTCAACACAGCCAGTGCATTGGGAATAAAGTCAAGACTCAAGCTCAAGCACAAGACACAGAAAAAAAATCCTATTTTTGTTTGTTCATGTCTTAATCCTTTGCCGGGTATAGCAAAGGACCTAAGACCTTATAAACTGATACTGTCTTTTCTTTAAAAAGGACTGGATAGACGATGTCAATTTCATACCTCACAAACTTGTCAAAGAACCATGGTTGTTCACCACCAGTTGGCATAATAGCTATGGCGATGAATATTATGGAGTACGTGACAAACACGGCCACAGCGTAGCCTTCCTCGTCTTTCATTCCCCACGCGTCACTCAGGGAAATTATGGCCAGGAACATCACGGGAAAAGCTGCGATGCCTTGAAGGAAAACTGCAAGAACCTGCGATAGCAACATAACGTGCAAGGCATCTCAGTAGGAATGAATGCAACTATCGGGGTAGTCTGCTACACACCCGGGGGGGGCACTTGGGTATTTTTTGGGTGGGTATGTGCCGCCCGGGACTCCAAAATGGCACCCCGTTCTGGAAAAAATTTCCCGTAAAAATGATACCCCGTTCTAGAAATGGGCCAATTTTTTATACCCCGTTCTAGAATTCGCCCCAAAACTGATACCCCGTTCTAGAAATGGGCCAATTTTTTATACTCCGTTCTAGGGTGCAACAAGAGTACAACGGTTTGCTTGTTAACGCATTGAACCGTATTTTTAAAAGCAATCTGTCCTTGAATACTTTCAAATGGCTGCCAACAAAAATGGAGCTTTCGTGCGTTCGAAATATTATACCCCGTTCTAGAAAACGCCTCTGAAATGGATACCCCGTTCTAAATCAGGAGCTTCAAAATCACGACCCCTTTGGGCGGCACATACCCGTATATGTAATGTATGGGAGTACCCCCCCCGGGGCTACACAGCCGTTTTTTAGAGTCGTCACGCAACGCTCCATATCGGGGTTAATAGAAGAGCTGTGCATGGGTAGTAATGTTCAGGTAGCAAATTGCTTAGTTTCGCATTCTTTTGTTAAGGCAAACGCGTTTTTGTCGTCTGTAAGGGGATTGGAGCCTCTTTCTCAAAATTCCGCCACATCCAATGGAATATTTATTTGTGGCGAGAACTTTTGGATTCTACATAAACCATACTTAATTCTCTCGTTGTGTGTCTGAATAACAGTTCGGAATAAAAGTTTCCAATTACTCGAATGGAAACGAGCCAGTGGGAGAAGCGAACGAAGGCTTCTGGGAAGAAGAAACACGTAATAAACAGGAAAGAAAAGAAAGAAACTGGGTGCTCGATTACCAGCCGCTGTTCGAGCCTACTGATAAGGCTAAATATTTTGTTCTTTAGAGTTCGTCATACCTTAGCTAGCCACGGGGAACAGCCCATTGTTTCGTTAGGATTACTTCTGAATCCTTTCCTGATAGTAAGCCCCAGCATGATCTGCAAATCTCTAAACGGCTCCGCCTGTTCAGGACTGAGGGCCATCACAGCAGCTGACGTTACCATGGCATCAGTTTGATGCACGCAGCCAGGCGACAGCTTTATCTCGTCGCAAACTTCTCCAGGCTGATGGTCGATACGTTCGTTTGCTTCTGGCGATAGAGACATCACGGCGTATGAGGGTGCTTTCAAAGACGATTCTTTGCGCCAGTAATCGACTGCTACGTTGCTGATGTACTTTGGGGTGAGCGGCTCAAGGTCGGCCATCAGCAAGGGGTCCTTGGATGCATCATGCTGATGAGTACAGCAAGGTAGAACTGGAAAGAAGTCGCGGATACTTATTCCCCCGCAACCCATCGATCCAACACTGTGCTGGGTAAAGAACGCTTTCTGAAGTCTCCATCTGAAAAGAAGGCAAACCTGTTATTTGCTGTTTAATGCTAAAGGGGATATTCTTCGGCCTCACTTTTCCTCTCTTTCCGATCCCATTCCCATCGTCTCTCGCGTGCTTTCTTTTTTCCCTCTCCCCAGCCTCCCTATGACACAAAGAGGAGTAGAAAACTGAGATGACCGAAAGATCTGGTTCGAGTCTCAATACTCGGAGTGTGACAGATGGGAGATTCTCGCTTCAAACTCATGGCTTATGGTTCACCCTTTTACTCCTCGATTTTCACAGAAAAAAAGATACTAACTTCTCTCTTTCAGGATACGATTACTCTGTCTATTTCCCTTTGTTTTCTGCGGATTGAGGACTGAACTTTGAAATCTGAAACTTGTAGAGCGATTAACTATCTGGCAACACGAGCAGGGAAACAGTCATACTAAATTGTCTAAAAAAAAATTCATACAAGGAATTTGATGACGAAAAAAAATTCCTGCGGCTCGAAAATTCCCCTCCCCCCCACAACTTTTCTAATGGTCTGTCCCTAAATTGTCTCATGGTTCGTTCTGAAGGGAAATGCAATGAGAAGGAAATTCAGTGATCCAACTTACTTGTAGTAGGTATAAATGGATGTAACGCTGAACATTCCAAGATAAGGACCCATCCAGATGAAAAAACTTGAAACCAAAAGCAAAGTGTAAAAAAGATGTGGATTATATTGGATACCAATGGTGCTTGTCTGGTAAACTCTCCACTTGATAACAAAAGCGTAAAAGTAAAACACGAGAGCCAGCGATGCTTTCTTCCGTAATGGCGGAAAACCCAGCCAGAAGAAGATGCTAAGAACAACGACCGAGGCTTTGAGCCAGGACGGGAGAACATGAGCAAACTGTTGTATCAACCATGGTACAAACGTGAAAGCAAACGTCACACCGGTTATGATCTGGAGGAAGCGAGCGATTGAGCGTAATCTCCACGGAGCGCTCAGCTTGATTGCGAGACAGACGAAGAAAGTTACGGGCAATAAAATGAATAGCAAGCTCTGTTGTCTCAATCTCGGGTCACTTATGGAGATTTCCAGAGTGCAGTGTCTTTCTGTCGCGTTAGCGTTACATACAAACCCTTTGCGCATGATCGAGCCAAAAACGTAATCGATGACGAACGCGGCAGTGAAAGCTCCGGAGCTGTACGACACGCAAGGGATGATAAGATTTACTGTGATGAGCAGTAAAACGAGTAGCACAGTATCCAGAATGCCTTGTAGTGGTCTTTCCCAGTTGCAGACGTACCCGACCCTACTGCGCAAGTGCTCAAAAAACTCTTTATGCCAGTTATGGTCATCTTGCTTGTCATGCCGGTATTTCCAGTCCAAATAGGCAGCCGCGGTATAATTCCCGCCAGAGACACAGCTGATGTAATCCACGTTCACACCGCGATGAAGTAGCCGTCGCAAGACCCCAGAACTTAATGCGGCCGAGCGAATCCCTCCGCCAGAGAATCCCAGACCAATGTTGCAGTTTTCTTCTGGCATGTTTATACGGCCCTCTTGGATCTTAGTTGAGAATAAAGCACAACAAAGATCATGAGACTAACAAGAGCCGTTGGCTTGGAAGTGCGGGCGAACGTGTGGGTTTACCTTGGAGGTGTGATTTATGTGAACCGCTTTCTTACTCTACATCTTTACATCTACATCTACATCATAGATCGGTCAAAATCGCTAAAACATCACACCAACCGAAATTGTCTAGGTGAATTTCGGAAAGCCCTTTTAAGGCGATGTTACACGAGACGATTCGCAACGACGATTTTTAGCGCAACACAGCGCTGCAAAGTTGGAACAATGTTGTAACCATTTGCGAATCGTCTCGTGTAAGATCACCTTTAGTTCCAGTGTCAACAAAGGAATTAATGCGGATCTATCACGAGCGTAGAAACTGAATTGGACAACAAAGAAATCATTATACTCATATTTAACTAGAAATACGTTTATCGCAACACCTCGCGAAGCTGTGATAAAGGGAAGTAATACCAGCCAATAGGTTAAATGTGTCAAAAAAAGAAAACAATACGAAAACGACCAAAAAATAAAGTAAAATAAAAAGTTTCCTCAGGCGGGAGTCTAAACCCGGACAATTAACGTGTAAGGTCATCGTCTTAGCCACTGCGCTACGAGACCAAGTGTTGCACGTATATTTTGAATTAATTATCTTTAACGTTTTTGCCCATGAAATTCTGTCGATAGACGCTGTTTGAAGCTCGTAGAGCTGTATTTATCAAGGATTCAAAAATGTAGTGGAGGAAAATAAGCATGGTTTTGACGGCAAAAACAGTACTTTAACTCATTTCGTCGCATTTGAAGATGATATGGCCAACAAAGCGATATTAAGTGTCTCGCAAAACTGTGGCGAATTCTCTTGCTGACGGCGTTGTACCGCTTGCAACTTTCTACATTTACATGAGGAGAATCGGTTACGATTCAGTATCAGTAAACATTTTTTTTCAACAGAGAATGAATAACCATATCCGCCTTTCTTCTCCACGGTTTCTTGTTGTCGTTTTCTTCTTCCTTACAGCAAGGAGCCCACAAGTGAGACCTTTAATAACTCAAATTCTTTCATGGAGACATTAACGAATCAGAAGTCGAGGACAGCTTCCAACTAGCTTCTGATTGGATTAAATCTGCACGAAAGAATGTGAATAAATTAAAAGGGCTCCTTGTTGTAAGTGTTGCCTGGAAACCTCAAAATGCACCTAGACTGAATGACGTCAATTGGAGCGGATTTTAGATCTTAAAACGGATTTCGCGTTCCTTTCGGCAAATCCAAATACGGATTTTTGATCTGGAGAATCCTTTTTAAAGGATTCAAATGGGTGTGTTCCTTTCGGCGAATCCAAAAACGGATTTTTGATCCTAGATTTGCCAGATTTCGCGGTCGAAAGGAACGTGAAATCCGAAATTGGATTTGTAACCTTGGTAACCTTTCGCCAACGCGTGCAATATGCACGACAGCCTCTCAAAAAATGACGTGTTTTCTACTGTTTGACAAATTATGCGATTATACCGTGCAGAATTTAGTGGTCGGCAGTTCGAATAGCGACGATGGAACATATAAAACAGACAAAGAAAGAATGTCAGCCAGTTTGATCCAGTTCCATATCTCGGATTTTTTTATGTATTAAAACACGATCGAATGCCTGTCGCGTCTACAAGCGAGTTTGTAGTTAGATAGCAGTTCATTTGTTACTATCTTATTTCTGATTTCAAGCAATCTTTAGAGACAAATGGTTAGTATATGGATATTTTAATGTACCAGGAACAATCTTCTAATGTTTTCAGATGTTTTGCGGCAAATGACAGCAACGAAGAAACTCTACGGCCTCTATGGGAATACTTCAATTGGAAAATACCGCTGGATCATCTGACTAATTTCGGATCCACTGTGAATGGAACAGCGTAGATCACTAATCCGTTAATCTGGATTTGGATTCTTCGGATTTCAAATCCAATGAATCCTTTTTCAAAAAGGATTCACCAGATCAAAAATCCGGATTTGGATTTGCCGAAAGGAACGCGAAATCCGTTTAGAACTAAAATCCGTTTTTGGATTCACCGAAAGGAACACACCCAATTGAATTTGAAATCCGAAGAATCCGAATCCAGATTAACGGATTAGTGATCTACGCTGTTCCATTCACAGTGGATTCGAAATTAGTCATATGATCCAGCGGTATTTCCAGTATAAGTATTCCCAGTATAGTTTCCTAGTTGTTGCCATTTGCCGTAAAACGTCTGAAAACTATGGAGGCCCGTTCTGGTCAAAATTAATATAATAAAATGGCATCACAAATGACTTTTTCGGCCAGTGCAGCATTTATTATGGACCTCTTGAGTATTTTTGTCATCACTACACAGGATTTTTTTAATGTGTTTTTATTTTTTTTTAGTTGCATGAATTATTTTTTAATTAAGGCTGTTTACTTTTTTGATGTTGTTGTATGAATAAATTTTTCATGCGTACCACAAATAAGTTTTTAGTGGTACCGCGAATTATTTTTAATACAAGTATTGAGAATTATTTTTTCATCGTGCTGATAATTATTTTTCGCTGTATCGCGAATTTATTTTTGGTTCTACAATGCTTTGCGGGCCTTGCAGTTGAAGTGGACTGGTTCGAGTCTTTGACTTGAGCGACCATTTTGAAAACTTTGCAAGTGGAGGAGTGTTTTCAAAGAGAATGCCAAGGCGAAACATTGTCAGAGAACTGAAACGACAGAGGTTTTCATCTTTCTTACAAAATCTGTCAGGAGCTAGTAGTCTGTCGTTAGTGATGAGGTTTTCTGGACCGAAGATTTAACAGAGGAGACTACGAAGGGACTTCACGACTCGTACACAATTCTAACCCTTATTCAGAACATGACATGTCTGCCCGATTGAACTGTTCTTTACCCGGTCTTGCCCTCGAATCTTCGTCTCGCACTACACATGCTGGTTTTCGGAACGAAGACGCAGAGAATGAGAGTGTCCGCTACCCTGAAGTTCAGGAAGAAGCTCCCGATTCTAATCCAGACGGGCGAGCATCAGAAGCAGAGCCAGATGGACTCGAAGGAGAAGACCTATGCTGAGTGCTAGTTAGAGTAGACCTCACTAAATGGGAAATTCGATTGATTTATCTAATATTTATGTTATGGCATTATTGGCTATACATCTCAGGTATCTGACGTTGGACCGACTCATTCATCTCCGAATATTAAAAACATAATGTTAAAAATCAGGAATTACTATACTGCCACCGTAAAGGCACTCGAGCAAGTTCCCCATGTTAGTTAGTTAGTGAGGTCTACTCTCACTAGCACTCTGCGAAGGTCATATACCTCGAATCCATTTGGCTCTGCTAGTTCTTATGCCCCCCCGTCAGGATTTGAATCGGGAGATTTTTCCTGAAGTTCAGGGTAGAGGGCATTCTCTTTCACAGCAATGACAATGACAATGACATTGCTTTGTTTATTTGGAGTCTTATACAGTCCTATGTAAATTGACTTTATCCAAATAATTTAGAAACATAACACAAATTGCACACTAGTGGAACTATAATCAATGTTAACCTAAAGAACTAATGATATTCTTTTCTCATAGCAGTCGAATATGTATTTTCCAATTAACTTTTGCACTGGTTTGTTCTTGCTCAGCATCTTCCTTCCCGAAAGCCAGCATGTGTGGTACGGGACGAAGACTCGAGCTGTAAGATTGGGTAGAGAACTGTTCAATTGGAGACATGTCGTGTGCAATAAGCAGGGTGTCCAGCGGCATGGTTGCTCAAAAATATAGGCAAATAGGAGACTCAGCGTTGAGAAAATAGGAAAAATAGGAAACTTTGTGTTAAAAAATAGGAGAAAAATGGGAAAATCAATAGTACTTTTGTGGACAAAGGTAGCCTCCCTGCACCCCATCAGGGTTATAATAAATGCCTCAAGTCCTCAGATTCTACGTTCGCAGGATTGAGATCAACTTTCGCGGCTAAGAAGGAGTAAAAATGATCAGTAACGTTTAGTTTATTGCCTCAGTTATGCTATAATCAGAATGATATGCTTGACTGCAGGTCAAGCGTGGTTCTATAATCAAAGGTGATCATATGCAAATTCCCCTCAAGTTGGCGGCAAATCTTTGAAAAGCTTTGAAGAGTGAAATTTCTTAGTATAGAAATTTCTTATGACTGAGTTGTCATTGAACGATATCGAACTAGAACGTAAAAGTCCTATGGAAAGCTTTCCTTCCATTAATCTGCAATCGGTAGCTGGTTGAGAATATGCTTGTTTGAGTCAAAACACCGCATAATTTTAAGTACGAAACCAGGCTTTGTGCGGTGTACGCAAAATGACACTGATGTGTTTGGTACCAGATTGTAAGTTTGTCATGGTTAAGTTCTAAGAAGAACATAACAATGCTTAGCTATGACTGCAAGACCGGTTTTGCAACCAAAATATGGGATCCTTCATCAGTTGCTTAGGTATAGCTGTTAACAAGGGCTCACCAAGAGAGCTAGCGCCGTACACTAAACTTTAGTCTGTTCTTTTCATGTAGCATCCAGAATCAGCTAGTGATCATGATTGGTTTTTAAAAACAAGATGCTGATTGGATTGGCCTGTGTTGTGAGAGCACAACTTGATCCTGTTTTCAGTTTCAAAGATGAACATAAAAGTGAGCAAGACTTTCAAAATAAAATATAACATGTACAGATACTGAAATGCAGTTTCAGTGAGCTATACACAATATTATTCAATAGTCAGGAGGAGAACTATAACACTACATACAATACATGTACATGCAGGTTAACAAAAATGTTAACAGAACTCTAACAGGCAATAGAGGTCATGGAAAGAACAAACGTAACTGTTATTTTTACTAATATTAGAATATCAAAGTCAACATACTACTTGCTTTATGATAAATTTCACTCAAAAACACATACAATTATAATTTCATTTTCAATTTTGTTACAAATTTTGCCTTCACCGGCTAAAAAATAGGAAAAATATGAGGTTTTAGTTTAAAAATAGGGGAAAATAGGAATAGGCTCAAAAAATAGGAACTGGACACCCTGAATAAGGGTTAGAATTGTGTACGAGTCGTGAAGTCCCTTCCTAGTCTCCTCTATTAAATCTTCGGTCCAGAAAACCTCATCACGAACGGCAAAGACTACTGGCTCCTGAAAGATTTTGTAAGAAAGATGAAAACCTCTTTTGTGTATTTCCCTGACAATGTTTCGCCTTGGCATTCTCTTTCAAAGCACTCCTCCACTTCAAAGAGTCTTCAAAGTTTTCAAAATGGTCGCCCAAGGAAATCAAAGACTCGAACCAGTCCACTTCAACTGCAAGGCCCGCAAAGCATTGTAGGCCCAAAAATAAATTCGCCATACAGCGAAAAATAATTATCAGCACGATGAAAAAATAATTCTCAATACTTGTATTAAAAATAATTCGCGGTACCACTAAAAAATTATTTGTGGTACGCATGAAAAGTTTATTCATACAACAACATAAAAAAAGTAAACAGCCTTAACAAAAAATAATTCATGCAGCTAAAAAAAAAATAACAACACACTAAAAAAATCCTGTGTAGTGATGACAAAAATACACAACGGGTCCATAATAAGTGCTGCACTGGCCGAAAAAGTCACTTGTGATGCCATTTTATTATATTAATTTTGACCAGAACGGGCCTCCATAGAAAACACTGGAGGATTGTTCTTGGTACAGTAAAATATCCATGTGCTAGCCATTTGTCGCTAAAGATTGCTGAAACACAAACACGTAAGAGGGACAAATGAACTGCTACCTTTCTATAAACTCGCTTGTAGACTCGATAGGCACTCGATCGTGTTACATAAAAAATCCGAGCTTCTAAACTGGATCAAACTGAGCCGACAACCTTTAGATAATTTTCAACTTTAACGCGATTCTTTCTTGAACTGTTTATGTGCATCGTCGCTATTGGAACTGCCGACCACAAAATTCTGCACGGAATAATCGTATAATTTGTCAAACAGTAGAAAACACGTCTTTTCTTTAGAGGCTATCATGCATATTGCACGCGTTTGCGAAAAGTTACCAAGGTTACAAATCCATTGTAGGATTTCACGTTTCTTTCGACCGCGAAATAATCTCGACCAAAAATCCTTTTTTGGAATCGCCGAAAGGAACACACCCTCGTCGCGACATCGTTGCTAGGCGGGAGAGTTGAAAAAACTGACCCCCACTCCGCGGACTACCCACTGACCCCACTCCGCGGACTACTCTACGGACTACTCCGCGGACTACTCTACGGACTAGTCCGCGGACTACCCTGCGGACTACCCTAACTAATCAACCAAATTTACTTTCACGGAGAAAAGAGTTAGAAGAAGCGTACCTGCCTACAAGATCACACTTGATAATTTTTAATTTTTAAAATTTTTAAAACCTTCGAAGCCTTCATCGAACAAGCGAACTTAAATCACCCAACTATCAAATTCACGGCCGAAATATCTGACACTGAGACTGTGTTTTTAGACACGATTGTATACAAAGGCACAAGATTCAAGGAAAAATCTATCCTTGATGTAAAGACACATTTTAAAAAAACGGAAACCTTCCAGTACACACATTTCACCTCTTGTCACCCGCCGAGTGTTAAAAAAGGATTTGTCAAAGGAGAAGCCTTGAGAATCCTACGAACAAACTCCTCAAAAACTACGTTTGAGGAAAATATTTCAAATTTCAAAATACGCTTGATTGACAGAGGCTACCCACAAACTATGATAGAAAACCTTCTATCAGATATAAAGTTCACAGAGAGGGAGTCTGCTCTCTTGAAACACAACAACAAAGAGGAAAAAGAAATATTGCCTTTCGTGACACAGTACCAGCCCTCAGTGTCTACTTTAAAAGAAGTTTTAATGAAAAACTGGAATCTTATACAAACCCAACCGTTACTTCGCCAAATTTTTAAAGAACCACCTATCATTTCCTACAAGAAAGGAAAATCCCTAAAGGACATGCTCGTTAGAGCTAAAATATAAATGTATTTATCATGGGTTATGTAACCTTTTCTTTGGGGTGTTACATGGTATGCTGTTCTGTTGCTTCATTAGCGGTAGGCTATATATATTCGAGTTGTTCTCATTTATATTCATTCGCGTCTTACGACCGTCCCTACGCCCTCAAAATTAAATACCCAGTGACCAGGGGTTTCTCTTAGACGTAGTTTTTTGCATGCTGCTATATGAAAGGTTTAGCACGTTTTGTATGTTTACTGAATCATTGTTATACGAGCATAGTTTAGATCATTTTGTAGGGTTGTTCTTCTTGCTGTAATTTTTTACATTTCCGAGTTTTCATTCTGTTTGTTGTATTATTTCCATCCATTCTGTTGATGAAGGCATAATAAAGAGGGTCGCACACGGCTCGTGTTGACACACCCCAATTGAGGTTGCTTGTTACATGATAAATGTTTTATATTCGTTTGAGCGGGGTAGCGAATTAGAATATAAAAGGTTTACACAAGGTTTCACGCCGGTATAGATGTGCGGCCTGTCACCCCTTGCATTTTCTCAGGCAAACAATTGAAACAAATTAAAAGGGATGAATATTCAACACACAATTACCGGTCATCCATTGCTGAACGGCGTGCTCTGACTTGTGGCCGATGAAGACTGGGGCGAAGCTAAAGGAGAGCTGGGTCGAGTAAAGTGGCGAAAATCAAGATGGCGGCTGTTTATCAAGTGTGATCTTGTAGGCAGGTACGCTTCTTCTAACTCTTTTCTCCGTGAAAGTAAATTTGGTTGATTAGTTAGAGTAGTCCGCAGGGTAGTCCGCGGACTAGTCCGTAGAGTAGTCCGCGGAGTAGTCCGTAGAGTAGTCCGCGGAGTGGGGTCAGTTGGTAGTCCGCGGAGTGGGGGTCAGTTTTTTCAACTCTCCCGTTGCTAGGCAACTTCAGATACCAAACCGATAAAAAGATTTACCACCAAAGCAAAATCGACAAAATTGTAAACTCGGTTCGCGAGAATTAAGTGATTCTATTCACAGATGAAGAGCTAGGAGAGAAGGCTATCTTCGCAGGCAAAGATACAATGAAAACAGTAATGCTTGACACAACGCTCAACCTAAAATGTATACAGTCAAAACTTCACGAAGTCTATCCGCAGTCAATCGGTTATTCAATCCGTGTTCAATGACTAATGGCCGTTGATATGCAAAAGAAAATAATGAAGAAAGCATAGTTTACCACTAGAGTTTGAAGCTTATTGAAGCTTTCAGATGAGAAGCGACATAACATGCTTGGAAACGTATAAAAATTATTACAAATGCTATCATGCACTGGAACCAAGCCTGAAAAAACCACTGATAAACTTAATTTACATGGATTTCTACAATCGTATCTTACCGATAACTCGTCCCGCGCTGAGCTAAGATCAGGCGCTACTCTCATTTTCCAGGGCACGGTTGCGCCGGCAAGGCGAATCAAAAAGTCTGAACTACGTTAGCCTGTTCGCGGCTCTCAGATAGTGGGACGCGAAAGTGAAACGGGCTTTTTCCCTTTCCCTTTGTATACCAAAAAGTATACCACGTGAACGGAAAAGCCCCGAGGAAAATAAAACAAAAGGACACAATGTGGCTTCCCTTCTAGAAACAACAGGAAACCTCAACACGGAAGTCGTCCTCATTTTTTTTTTTTTGAAGTCGTCCTCATGCAAATATGGCTAGTGAGGCCTCAATGGTTTTGTTTTGACTCCGCGTCTTAGCGATTGAGTAGAGCGATACGGTTTCCATCGAGTTGTTGTGTGCCTGAGCGCCACTAAAAAGGAGATTTCAATTCCAGCTGGAACGAAATATAACTACCTAAACTTTTCTGAGGTCCTTTCACAAAGAACGTAATGGGTTGATGCGATTCGGCGCGGCGAAGGGAAGCACTTTGCGATTCAGAGCAAACGAAATTAAGTGCGCTCGCTTCAAAATATTAAAAATTCACGAAAGTATTTGAATGAGAGAATTCGCAAGTCCTTTATTCAACAAAAGGAAAGCATTCTAAAAAACGAGTGTATCCACCGTCGACATTCCATTTTTTTACACTGTATTACTGGAAACAATGGTGACGAGTGCAAATGGAACACAACAAATATACAGTAGTAATGTATGGATATCCATCCCCGCCAAAATTCAAACGTGTTGTTCTTAGATCCAAACCTTCAATTCAAAAATTGTTGCTTTCAATTTAAATTTGCAATTTTTGAATTAAAACAATCATTTTGGCAATTCAACCAATTTAAGCGTCTTGAATTGAAGGTTTAGATCTGGGAACAACAAGTTTGAATTTTGGCGGAGATGGAGATGCATACGTATGTACTAACATGCTAATTTTTTATCAAACAATCCCTTCTACTGGCGCGGATATGGCAACTGAAAGCGTGATCGTTCTCTGATAACGATACCCTAGTTTTCTTATTTCGCGGGCTCTTTCTGAATGAAAGCATGTTGCTAAATTGCTTACTATTTAGGTTGCACCGTTGGCTTAGTGTCGTTGTAGTTGGTGTCACATCGTGCATGATCCTACAACTCCCTCCTGATTTCAATACAAACTAGGTTCTAGCAGTACTTGGGCACAGGGAGCATGCGCTAGCTTGACTTTAACTTTTAGCGCGCTGTAGTGCCATAACGTCACCATAAAAACAGAACAATGGCCCTTTTTGGTATTTAAAAATTACGGTAATAAAGAAGACGGAACCTAATTGGCGATTTTGAAACAAAATTTTGAAGATTTTCAACACAGGCTATTATATTATTATTATTATTATTATTATTATTATCATCATTATTATACAAATATTCTGCCACTCACGTTCAAAATTCCTTGTCTAATAATTATCTATTCCTGTAAACCCTAATAGTGAGCATCATCTCATTTTTCAAATATTTGTTTATGATATCTCTGTTGTATCAAACATGAAGGTGAAAAAGAATAAAAGAAATGATTATAGGTCTTGATCTTAATCGATATTCTCCTTATCAGTACCAAAGGAAACCCATGTTGAACCGTGTGGAGAATATTCATGCTGATGCTTGGAGTAAATAAGTTAAACAAAGCCTGTAAGATTTATTGCCTCACTCCCGGTCAAGAACTCCTCAGCGCCGGACTCCACGCAAGCACGATATCCTTCACGGTGATATGCTGTAAAAAGCGACGATGTAAAAAACTGGTTGACTGTCAAGGTATGTGGGAAGCCCACACACAGCTTATCTGAAATCCAGCGAATAATTGTCGAGCTTGAATGACAAGATTCGCAACAACAGAAAGTTAGGCGGTCAACATCCTGCGCCTTTAGAACTGGTCCTGGACCCCACAAAGTTGTATCCAGTTCCTCTCCTGTGTCTTGGGTGTACTGGGCCCAAGTTGTGTCCATGTCTGCTGGAGGCTTGACCCCGTTGTCAGGGTGACGAGGAGCAATGATCATTACCTCACCGGTACCAACCTCGAAATAACCACCATCAAGTTTCTTGTCGAAGTACCGAACTAGAAATCGATAATGCCTCGGTTGTCGTCCTCGAGGGACTTTTACATATTCTTTATTCATCTGTCCTATGACATCCCGGCCGCCCAGACCAACGAACTCACAATGTAACTGTTCCCTCGCCTGATCCATAGATTTTAAGAGGTATTTGGAGTAGTCTGCGTCACTCGAAATAAAGCTTCCGTCAACGATGAGTATCTTTTTCAGCCTTTTCTTCAGCAGGGAGAGCAGACCATATTTCTCTAGGCGCCCGGCATCACTTAGAGATAAAAGCGCAGGTGGATTGGGTCCGACGTTGTTAACTTGGAAGACCTCGCGTAAAAATCGTACGTGATACAAGTGAACGTGACACCACCTATTACCAACAACACAAAAGTATTAATGACTTAACACGTAAATGGTTTAATACAAGTTCTCGGTTAGACACTAGCCTCGCTAAAGACGAAGTATAAATTGAGGCAAAGAGGAATGGAAACCCGAATATGCAAACAAACAATTAGCAAAAGGATTTTTTTGCTTTTCCCCTAAGTGGACTGAAGAAGAGGCGATGTTACGACGCAAACAACATGGGTGACGGAAACAGTTAAAAACTGAAGGAAAGTCATAGTTAGGGCTGATTTACACGTACGAAGGGAACGTACTCAAAGCGCAACGAGCTTGACCGTGGTAGAAAACATATACAGGTAGCCAACTCTCTCGCTAAAAAGGAAATCTTTGGGACCGGCACTAACTGGAAGTGTCCGTCTTAGAGAGATGTCTGTCTTATAGAGAGTCAAATGAAGGGAGGAAAGAAAGGCAGGGACCAACTCTAAGTATCCGTCTAAGAGAGGTTTCCTTTAAAAGAGGGTCCACTGTACACAGCCAGTGCATTGAAATGGAACTTTGGCGAGTAGACGTTTAGAGAGGTCAAACTTATTACCAAAAGTAAGGACGAAGAGAAGTTTCTCTGAAGGTTGTGTTTTGTTATCGACAGTTTTTTCAACCTCGTCCTCCGAGTCGCTCTCCGTCGTCCTCTTTAGCCTGCGAGCACATGAACTCTCCAATCGTCTGGTTAAAGAACGCTCTCGCATCCTTTTCTGCGTGTCGCTTACGCGTGACTTCTCCAGAGTCCCTGTAATGGAAAGCTTGCTCGCAGGGTAATTACTCTTTCGCTCCACGGGAAAGAACGAAAAAAGACCCTGAGAATAAAGTCAAGATTCAAGCCCAAGCACCAGATAGAGAAAAAAGTCTATTTTTGTTTGTTTGTCTTAATTCTTTCCCGGGTATAGCAAATGTCCTACGACGTTATAAACTGACACTGTCTTTTCTTTAAAAAAGGACTGGATAGACGATTTCAATTTCATACCTCACAAACTTGTCAAAGAACCATGGTGGTTCACCACCAGTTGGCATAATAGCTATGGCGATGAATATTATGAAGTACGCGACAAACACGGCCACAGCGTAGCCTTCCTCGTCTTTCATTTTCCACGTGTCACTCAGGGAAATTATGGCCAGGAACATCACGGGAAAAGCTGCGATGCTTTGAATCAAAACTGCAAGAACCTAAGATAGCAACACAAAGTGCAAGGCATCTCAGTAGGAATGAATGCAACTATCGGGGTAGTCTGCTACACAGCCTTTTTTAGAGTCGTCACGCAACGCTCCATATCGGGGTTAATAGAAGAGCTGTGCATGGGTAGTAATGTTCAGGTAGCAAATTGCTTAGTTTCACATTCTTTTGTTAAGGCAAACGCGTCTTTGTCATCTGTAAGGGGATTGGAGCCTCCTTGTCAAAATTCCGCTACATCCAATGGAATACTTATTTGTTGCGAGAACTTTTGGATTCTACATAAACCACAGGGGCGGATCTAGGGGGAGGGTGCAGGGGTGCGCACCCCCCCTCCCGAGATGACCTGCGGTTTTCTAATACAACTGGTATTCTGCAAAAAGAAAAAACTATGTGGTTTATTGGTGTTGAAGTAGAGCACGAGACGAGTGCACCCCCTCCTAAAAAATATCCTGGATCCGCCCCTGAACCATACTTAATTCTCTCTTTGTGTGTCTGAATAACAGTTCGGAATAAAAGTTTCCAATACACTCGAATGGAAACGAGCCAGTGGGAGAAGCTAACGAAGGCTTCTGGGAAGAAGAAACACGAAAAGTCGAAATTAGACTGTTCACAGTCCCCTATTTTTTCGTGAGATCGTTTAGATATACCGCGTCGTACCGTCACGGCTACATCTTGATTTTCAAATGTACCGAGGGGCTTTCGGGGATAATAGTGTGGGGGGCGGGGACTGAAAAATAGAGGGACTGTTCACTGCAGCTCGCGTTCAATAAACGCAGGCCTTTAATTGGTCATTAGACAATGGATGTTTATTTGCGTTGACAACGGGTTTAGTTTAATCGTTGACAAGTCGATATTTCCATAAAACGTACGCTTTCATACCACAAGGCACATCTTGCGCAAAAGACGAAGGCCCGATTTTATTTCGAGGAATGGGCCTAAAAAACATTATAAAATCACCGTTTCCCTAGGAGATATTTGTAGACACGCGTAATCGATGCTAAATGTGTCTGGCATGTTTTTCATCACCGGCGGAGTTTCTTAATTAATGAATGGTAAAAGGCGTGAAATTCCTGTCACGCCTCCTGAACGCGAGCTGCAGTGATGTTATTACAGTCCCTCTATTTTTCTCGCTTCCTCCCAAACCGCCCCCGCCCCCTAAGTAGTTTTGACACTCATCTAAGATGGCAGCCCGTAACGCAAAGCGCTCGATCTCGACGATCTTACGGAAAAATAGAGGACTGTGAACAGTCTAAGTCGAAATAAACAAAGGGAAGAAAAGAAAGAAACTGGGTGCTCGATTACCAGCCGCTGTTCGGGAAGTGAGTTCGCGCTACGCCCCAGAACAGCCGTATCTTCTCGAGGAGGAGTAAGAGAGCAGCGGAAATCGAGCCTACTGATAAGGCTAAATATTTTGTTCTGTAGAGTTCGTCATACCTTAGCTAGCCACGGGGAACAGCCCATTGTTTCGTTAGGATTGCTTCTGAATCCTTTCCTGATAGTAAGCCCCAGCATGATCTGCAAATCTCTGAACGGCTCCGTCTGTTCCGGACTGAGGGCCATCACAGCAGCTGACGTTACCATGGCATCAGTTTGATGCACGCAGCCAGGCGACAGCTTTATCTCGTCGCAAACTTCTCCAGGCTGATGGTCGATACGTTCGTTTCCTTCTGGCGATAGAGACATCACGGCGTACGAGGGTGCTTTCAAAGACGATTCTTTGCGCCAGTAATCGACTGCTACGTTGCTGATGTACTCTGGGGTGAGCGGCTCAAGGTCGGCCATCAGCAAGGGGTCCTTGGATGCATCATGGTGATGAGTACAGCAAGATAGAACTGGAAAGAAGTCGCGGATACTTATTCCCCCGCAACCCATCGATCCAACACTGTGCTGGGTAAAGAACGCTTTCTGAAGTCTCCATCTGAAAAGAAGACAAACCTGTTATTTGCTGTTTAATGCTAAAGGGGATATTCTTCGGCCTTGCTTTTTCTCTCTTTCCGATCCCCTTCCCATCGTCTCTTCCGTGCTCTCTTTTTTCCCTCTCCCCAGCCTCCCTATGACACAAAGAGGAGTGGAAAAATGAGATGACCGAAAGATCTGCTTCGAGTCTCAATACTCGGAGTGTGACAGATGGGAGATTCTCGCTTCAAACTCATGGCTTATGGTTCACCCTTTTACTCCTCGATTTTCACAGAAAAAAAGATACTAACTTCTCTCTTTCAGGACACGATTACTCTGTCTCTTTTCCTTTGTTTTCTGCGGATTGAGGTCTGAGCTTTGAAATCTTAAACTTGTAGAGCGATTAACTACCTGGCAACACGAGCAGGGAATCAGTCCGTTCTGAAGGGAAAGGCCATAAGAAGGAGTTCTGTGATCCAACTTACTTGTAGTAGGTATAAATGGATGTAACGCTGAACATTCCAAGATAAGGACCCATCCAGATGAAAAAACTTGAAACCAAAAGCAAAGTGTAAAAAAGATGTGGATTATATTGGATACCACTGGTGCTTGTCTGGTAGACTCTCCACTTGATAACAAACGCGTAAAAGTAAAACACGAGAGCCAGCGATGCTTTCTTCCGTAATGGCGGAAAACCCAGCCAGAAGAAGATGCTAAGAACAACGACCGAGGCTTTGAGCCAGGACGGGAGAACATCAGTAAACTGTTGTATCAACCATGGTACAAACGTGAAAGCATACGTCACACCGGTTACGATCTGGAGGAAACGAGCGATTGAGCGTAATCTCAACGGAGCGCTCAGCTTGATTGCGAGACAGACGAAGAAAGTTACGGGCAATAAAATGAATAGCAAGCTTGGTTGTCTCAATCTCGGGTCACTTATGGAGATTTCCAGAGTGCAGTGTCTTTCTGTCGCGTTAGCAGCATCTCTGTATAAGTCTACACATACAAACCCTTTGCGCATGATCGAACCAAAAACGTAATCGATGACGAACGCGGCAGTGAAAGCTCCGGAGCTGTACGACACGCAAGGGATGATAAGATTTACTGTGATGAGCAGCAAGACGAGTAGCACAGTGTCCAGAATGCCTTGTAGTGGTCTTTCCCAGTTGCAGAAGTACCCGACCCTACTGCGCAAGTGCTCAAAAAACTCTTTATGCCATTTATGGTCATCTCGCTTGCCATGCCGGTATTTCCAGTCCAAATAGGCAGCCGCGGTATAATTCCCGCCAGAGACACAGCTGATGCAATCCACCTTCACACCGCGATGAAGTAGCCGTCGCAAGACCCCAGAACTTAATGCGGCCGAGCGAATCCCTCCGCCAGAGAAGCCCAGACCAATGTTGCGGTTTTCTTCCGTCATGTTTATACGGCCCTCTTGGATCTTAGTTGGGAATAAAGCACATCAAAGATCATAAGATGAAATACAGAAGTGAACAGACTACATCTCGCACAAAGCCCCAGCGAGTCAATTCAAAATAAGGAATACCGTCGAATCTCACCTCTATAAGACGGAGACCTCTGTAAAACTCCCCAGGGCGGTACTTCCTATGATGGCCTTTACGGGGAGGCTCCACCCGAAAGGGGTACCTTTTTCAGGCTTCAGGTTTATGACAGGGTAGGAAGTATATGAAAAGGTGGGGAAATCTGTCATTTGGGTCTGTGAAAGGGCCCAAAGGGCCGAACAGATGAATTTTATGGCTTTATAAAGCCGAGAAAACGTTATATTCTTGTGATTGATTCTTATTTAAATGACAGTGCATTTACAGCAGTTAAGAGGGATGCAAAGTTCTAAACAAGGTATGTGAAAGGGGTGCCATTTGTCAATAGAAGGTATACGAAAGGGGTACCTTTTTCGTGAAAGATAGTATATAAAAGGGTAAGGGATCGGACCTCGAGGTGGAGCCTCCCCGTATAAAAATTTGTTGAGTACCCCCCTCCCCATCCGAGTGTAAAACGGACACCCAGAATTGGTGCCTGCCTTTCTTACTCCCTATATTTGACCCTCTATAAGAAGGACATCTCTGTAAGACGGACACTTACTGCCTGTCCCAAAGGTCTCCGTTTTAGAGACAGTTGACGTTAACGACGATTTCGGTAATCACCAATCATTGAGAAAATGTCTGGGAGACGTTGTGTCTGATTTCTCGAGAGTAAAGTGTTTTAATTATGTGCAGTTGTCTCCATCTATGCCCTTTTTTGACTTTCCCTGAATTTCTCTAGTTTATGATCTCAGTTCTACACACGTTCTCGCATCCTCGCCCTCCAAAGCCAGGGAAAAGCGCCCTGGGGACGAGGTCGACATCTGCCCACCGGAAGCCTAATTACCTGAAATTGCGTGACATAGCCTAAATTGCGTGACATACTAACTTACGTGCAGACAATCTCGTATGGTCACAGAAAAGGTAACAGGACCGAATTAGGCAGAGGGCTTTGGCTATTATTCGTTTTCCGGCAATAGGAGACGTCTTCAGCTACAACTACTGTCTCTACATCCACCCAGCACCTCATATTTAAAGTAAAAAAAAAAAAAGGCTTTTCACTCATGATGGTTCGTTATTGAAGCCTTTATGTACCGGCATAAACGAGAAAGGAGAAGAGAGGCGAGGCGTGGTCGCCTCTTGTTTTCTTTTCCCCGGGAATTTTCCCTTCCCGTTTTATACTCCTTGAACTTCCCTTGTTAGAAACAACAGGGAAACTCGACACGGAAGTCGTCATTCACCCCGCCCAAGGTTAAAAGGACAAAGACAGTGCCGTGAATTCCTGCCCGGGCGCATTTGTTAAAAGTCACCCTCAGTTATTACCTTATCTGAAAACCTCGTTTAATAATACCACCAACATCACTGGGTGGTCTTAATAAAAGGGCTTTTTATACTGTAAAAAAAAAAAAAGTGAAAACGCGAGACAATTCTTACGAACTTCCGCTTCCGGTCATACACAGAGAAAGCAACCAAAGCATACCAGAAGTTTTAATCAAACTTCAACTAATAGAGCGACTTGAGTACTTGTGGTTTAAAGGTTTAAACGTCAATTTGCAGCGGTCAGGATATTAATGGTCTTAAATTACAACTAACAAATCGTTTGCAGGTTATTAGGATTGCGTGCCCATATTATAAAGAAGTAGTTACTCTGTCTTTTATCGTTCCATTTTTGCGACAATTCCACAACAGCCGACGAGAGATCATAACTTTTTAAACAAACGGGGAATTAGTGGGAAGAAATAAAGAGGTCGCGCAGGAAATATTTGCGGCGAACGAGTTCGTTGCAGCAACATACATCGATACATATGTTAAAACTCAATTTTAAGTGCTCTTCGGTCTGTTTTTTTTTAATTGACGATAATTTTAAAACGACATAAAAACAAACCTTTGAATGATCGATCCAGAGGTACAAACACAACGTCATTCTCGAATTTGATTTACACGATCGAAGCTACCCTGATATCAATTTTCTAGGGTTATTAAGTAAACATCAGTCCTTTATAAACAACATTTTCCTTGAATAAACGCTTTTGCCATGCGAAGTGAAACTAGAATTTGTAAAAATAAAACACCTGATAAAAAGTAAGTAGGATGAAATATACTGTACCTTTATCCTGTTTGGAAATTTTGTGCTTGAAGGCTGCTGATTTAGAAATTCGGATGATGGGGGTGAACTTTTGTAATGCGATCTTGAAGATCCTTGTAACACTCGCTCAACCTTCTGAGGTCAGAGAGAGAATGATAAGAAATTCTACGCTCACTTGATTTTATACCAACAGAAGCGGAAAAAGTGCCTGCGTGCGCAAGGCCATTCCGTCCCTGTCCAGGTTCCGGTTACTACTGCCATAGCGTCGTCACGCATTCTAGGTTCCGTCGACGCCGGGGATTTTTACTCTTCATGAGGGCCGGGATCGCAAAACTCTGACTCATTACCTATTTCAAGATCCACACATTTGTGAGTAGTATTTTTTGTTCTCCTTGGATCACTGGTGAAAAGTTCCATTGTTTCTTAACCTAAGCCAGGAACCCATAACCCCATAACCAGCTGCCTAAGCTGATCCAGCATGCTCTGTTCAGCCTTTTTACAGAGCCCGATAGCCATTTATTTTTCACCCCCGAAATAGGTTAAAAATCAATTTAACGAACATAAAGTGCATTCTGTTTTGTGGCTCAATAAGAACAGTAAAAGGCTAGCTCCTGAAAAGAACCCACATTTATCAACCCAGGCGACCACTGTCCACAAATTTTAGCTACCATATCTAGCATGTGTACTTCCACCCCTCCCCTCAAACAAAATCGGGCCTCTCTTCGGAGGGGGAGGACGGCTGTGCACAGGCTAATTTTTTTCCCGTAAAAGGTTCGGCGAACACTCTTGACAATTCCAAGGGAATTCCCCCGGGATTGATAACTCACTTTTTCTTTCAAAATATCGCAAGATTTCTGTTGAGACCTGTTAACCTCAGGAATGATAACGACATGGGATCAGTATTATAAGAGGCCTACACCGCTTGACCTTTACAGAAGCGGAAGAGAAACCGCAGGGAAATACGCACGGGACAAACAACAACCAGCGAATAATATTCAAACATGACACAGAAACACGAGACAAAAAGCAATCAAATTTAAACACGAATTAGACTGTAACAAAGTAAAAGCTAGGGCGTCATAATCAAAGTCATGGGCCTTGCAAGAGGCGCTTTTTTGAAATATAAAGAAACTTGTTCGTGAAGTTAGAATGATGCTTCCATTGTCTGAACGATCGATATTGCAAAAAGTGTCCTAAATTTTATTTTCCGTTTTTGAGCTTGGCATTCAAGAATAAATATCTTCACCGTCGTATTTTTTTTTTCCAGTCTTGATTAAATTTTGGCTATTTTACAGGGGGGAATGAAACTAAATTCCTCAAAAGTCAGCCATAAATCCGATCAATTAGCCTTTGGCTTTTCGCTGAAAAACTACTGACCTTTGAGAGCAATATATTAATACTGGCACGTATCGCCCTCAAGCACGTCAGTTTTTGACTAACGGCACTCACATGAGGAAAATCCAGTAAGTTTTCTGATCTGTTCAAGGAAAAATTGTTAATGAAATCTTGCTAAAACGTCGCCGGCTCGGCCGGGCGGATAGCGGACTGAAAGGGAATTACATTAAAAAGAGGAAAAAAAAAAAGTAAACAGATCCTTACGGCCAGACGATGAAAAATAGGACCAACTGATGTAATAAAAACGTTCGGGCGCAATTTAATAGTGTGCGTGCCTTATTTATTTATTTATTTATTTATTTATTTATTTAATTTGTAACTGAACGTACCTGTGTTTAAAGCCCGGTGCAAACGGACGCAAAATTGTTGGCCAACAACTCCCAACATTGTTGGATGTTACATGTTGCGTCCGTTTGCACACTTTGTTGCATGTCATTGCATGTTATTGTGCACAGTTTAAAACAGGTTAAACGTTTAGCTATGCGTGCAAATGGATGCAAGAATTTCCGACATTGTTGGGCTAACAATGATCAACATTGTTGGGAGCTGTAACATCCGTTTGCACGTAGCTTTAGTTGGTTATTTAGCGTGTTTTATCTCTACTTTGATATACGATTTAATATTGAACCGTAACCAATTGAAACATTGCATTATAGGTATCCTACTGATAAACATTATTATTATTATTATTATTATTATTATTATTATTATTATTATTATTATTATTATTATTATTATTATGTAAAATTTAGCACAGGGATTTTCCCTGGGGAGAAATATCCAGTCAAGTCTCATCCCCAGACCTCAGACTTCCAGCACCTTTCTGAGGATATGTGCCTATCCGAGGAGTGCCGACAGTTTGCATCGTTCTTGTTCGGTCAATTCCTAGTTGCTCCAAGTGGCCTGCCAGCTTCTTTGACGCTGAACCCAATGCACCCATTATTATTATTATTATTATTATTATTATTATTATTATTATTATTATCACGATCTGGCTCTGGGATATTTATTTGCAGTCTGTCCACCTCCCCTTTTCAGTTAGTGCGTGCGCATTTTCACGAGAAAAGGCACGGCTACCAAGCTAAACAAAATGGCGAACTGTAGCAAGTTATTACCCTTTTGAACTCGAGTGCGTTGGAGTTTTAAAATTTTAGCGTGAAATTTACACAGAAATAACATAGTGGTCGGTGAAAAAGTTACAAGAAGCCATATTCGACTTGTGTTCTAGTAGCATCGCGAAATAAGTTTAAAAAAATGCAGCTTCGAGTGTTATTTTTAGTCGGTTAAGTATGATCAAGAAAGAACTGCGGCTCTCCAATTTTCTGCTGGTCTTTACTTGGTTTTGGTTGTTACAAACGAGAATTAATGGTAAGTGATGTAAAAATATTGCAAAATGAATAAGTCAGATTAAGGCTGTTGGAAGTTAAGGGAGACTGTTTAACAATAGAATCTTTGTCCTGCTAGCTGGAATGTTGACTTTAATTGAATGGTTTAGATCAGCTCCATGATAAGGTCAAGTATTATAAACCGGTCAGTGTAAAACGCAGACTGCAGACTGCAGACTGCAGACTGCGGACCAGGGGTAAAATGCAGACTGTGTGCAAAATGCAGACTGCAGACTAAGAGTAAAATGCAGGCTGGGGTAAAATGCAGACCGAGCGTAAACTGTAGTTGTGGAAAGGTTTAAGCCTTAAGGGTCAAAAAATCCCGCCACAAATACATGTATACAAACACTTACTTGACGACATCTGCTTTCACAAATCCATTCAGGACTTTCTTCTCTAGAACGATGTCGACGACCCAAAAACATATAATCGCAATCTTGAACCTTTTTTCCGTCCGAGAGACCTCACGCTTCATCTTTAGAAGCGAAGTTTTCGATATACGTGACCAGGGACCTTGAACTGGTACAACACCACAATGTTTACGCTTAAATGGAAGCTGCAGACCCAAAATACTGTACAGGAAGAATTATGGCGATAAAAAAAGGGAGTAAATCATTCCAAGATGTTCTGCGGGAAATTTGGATGATCTTCTATGAAAGTATTGCAAATCAAGGTACACAGACTTAAGCTGTTCGGATGTGCATTGAAACTTCTGGCGAATGTGCAATGCACTTCGACTAGGAAGCAAAGTGTGTAACTGATACCGGCTAGCTATTTCACCTATTTGGAGAAGAAGGAGCACAAATGTTTAAAAAAGTCTACAGTCTTTATTCTGCATTTTGCACCCAGCCTGCGTTTTACTCTCAGTCTGCAGTCTGCATTTTACACTCAGTCTGCATTTTACCCCTGGTCCGCAGTCTGCAGTCTGCAGTCTGCAGTCCGCAGTCTGCGTTTTACACTGACCGATTATAAACACTGGTTTCAATAATCAATCAAATCAAATCAAATCAAGGTACACAGACTTAAGCTGTTCAGATGTGCATTGAAACTTCTGGCGAATGTGCAATGCACTTCGACTAGGAAGCAAAGTGTGTAACTGATACCGGCTAGCTATTTCACCTATTTGGAGAAGAAGGAGCACAAATGTTTAAAAAAGTCTACAGTCTTTATTCTGCATTTTGCACCCAGCCTGCGTTTTACTCTCAGTCTGCAGTCTGCATTTTACACTCAGTCTGCATTTTACCCCTGGTCCGCAGTCTGCAGTCTGCAGTCTGCAGTCCGCAGTCTGCGTTTTACACTGACCGATTATAAACACTGGTTTCGAGCACAAGTGCCTATATAGTCAGCATCTTTATGAAATAAAGGCTTTTCTAATTTTCAGCTGCACTTGAGCCATGTCCTGGACAGTATTGTGGAAGAATTATTGATAAAAGTGGAAATATTGGATACAACTGTGGGGTAAGACATGAGAAAATTTCATAACATGCACCATTAATTATTTTCTTTTTGAAAAATGAAGGCTGTTGTATATTTTGGCATAATTAGGCATAATCAAGCATACATTTAGGTAAACAAACTAACTACACAACATACAAGTGACATGAATGACTTCGTAAATGTTAAAAGCAATGGAAGAGAGAAACCTCTGCTCGCAGGTTATGGCATGACAAGAAGCATGTCTACCAAAAAAACTGATGTCATAAGTCATGTAACCACATAGACAGTTATGGGTCCTTTGATAATTTATTTTATTTCTACTAGTTATGTTCTGTTTTCAGCCAGTATGTTAAATTTCATTTTTGTTTTGTGGGTTTTGTTAAGCTACATATTTAATTTTTTGCTTGTTCATTATACAGAGCTCCGTTTACACTTTGTGTATCAATTCACTTCCTATTGTGAACACCTTTCACTTGTCCAAACGCTTTCGCTGACGAATTAGTGATTTGTTCTTTAAACGTGAGGGGACTGTCTAACACCATGAAAAGGTGTGAAATATTTCGATGGCTGAAAACTAAAAGATAGGCAATATTCTTTCTACAAAAAAAAAAAAAGTTATGGGTGGTTCAGGTGTCATTGCATCACTTAAGTTTGCATACCAGAATGTTCTTGTATGCATGATAATTTTTTCAGGCTTGCCCAAGAGGTTATCGTACCAATGGCACAGTGTGCTTGGAGTGTACTGGATCCCCTGACCTATATGACTGGCTGTACTTAGGATTTATGGCTTCATTATCTCTCATATTTCACTTGTTCTTTATTGACTTTTTCTCAAAGAGAGACAAAAAAAGGTAATATTAAATTATTGTTTTCTTATTAATGATTTAAAATATATTCTGCTCAACCTCCAGCTGAGTTTTCAAAAAGGGTTGTTGAACTCTAATTACTAGTTAAGATTTTTCACTACGAGGTGAATCAAAAGATATTAACACAATATTCTATATGGTTTGCAAGTATAATTTTCTGTTTTCACTGGGGTGCAAGAATTCTTGTGTCTTTACGTGACAAAAGGTATCATCCATCTGGATATCTGTAATAGGTTCTTTTATTGTTTGTCTCCGAATAGTCATTTTGTTGTTGAAGCTTTGTTTTGATGGTGCACTGTTGGTTTCCATCAGGTGATGATGTTAATTAACTGTCAGAGCTGGACTTTGAGTATCACCATGGTTACTTGTTATTGGTCTTCCTTCACTCTGTTTGGTACTTTGACTTTGCTCGTGAAAACCAGCATAGCATTTGAATAAATTATAATATTGTTGTGGTCTATAGGTGATAAAAAGTTAGTTCTAATGGTAAAAACACAGTAGTAATACTTATTGTTTGCTCAAATTTGACTTTGCAGAATTTATGTTCTATATCTGAGTGCATTTATAGAAAGTGCCTTGGCTGCCATTTTTTCTCTTCTAGCAAGTGAACCTCAAGGTACAGTGTAACTTCCTGGTTGTGAGATAAATACACTGTAAATGGCAAGCAGTGCCAGGGTCAGTGCCAGGGTTGTTTCCGTAGTGTAGTGGTTATCACGTGTGCCTCACACGCGCAAGGTCGCCAGTTCATGCCCGGCCGGAAACATATCTTTTGGCCAGCTAGAAGACCTGACACTGAAATAAAGTGTATCGTCATCATTATCATCATCATCATCATGAAGTTTTTCATAGTTTCATGGTTTGGGGTATCCTGATCTCCAAAGTATTAAGTCTTAACAAGTAAACAATAACAAGATTCGCAGAGTATACTAAGGGATGTTCACAATGCCATGCAGCTGCTAGCAATGTCTATGTTGTAGTTAATTTTATATATGAGCTAATTTTTGTTTTTCTTTTTTTTGAACTTCATTAGCTTACATTACCATACACAAAAACAAAAGAAAAACAAAAATTACCTGCGATAAAAAATTAACTACAACATGTACACAACAAATACCAAGGGAAAACACACAAGAATAGGCTTGATAATAACTTGCCCATAACCCTTATTAAAAGGGGACATTTTCATTTGGGTTGAGTGTGAAGAATTGAATATAAAAAGTAACAAATGTCACTTCATTAGTGTGATTTAAGGAATTTAATTAAATTCCCTTTACCGAGAGGACTGGGGATGTGATGCAGTTAATATTCTTGAATTACCGGTATAACATTTTTGTTTTAATCTTTAGGCAGCCTAGGTTTAACATCTTGCAAGTCTGAGCAGCTTGCTGACTGGTACACAATATTCTTTAACCCCAAACCTGATTATGTTAACACTCTTCATTGCACACAAGAGGCTGTTTATCCATTGTAAGTATTCCTTTTACTTCACAAACATACAGTCAAACGTGACGTTAAGAATATAAAACCTACATGTAGTGTAAAACGGTAAAAATGCACTATGTGCTAACAGGGTTCACATCAGCCTTTGCCACAGACTAAACCTAGGTAACCTCTGGTTTAAGTCCGTCTGTGAGCCAGTGCTGAAATCCTTGTTCTTGTTCCCAACCTGTTTACTAGGATTTGAGTATGTGCCATGATTAGCGTGGTTAAAAAGCCATTGCTGATTTGCAAATCAGGTTAAAGGGAAATTTGGGACACACTTGGGCTAATTCATTGTGTTTGTTTGATGCTCAGGAAAAGGATGCTGCTCCTGCATTGGGGTTAGACTTAGGTTAAATCCTCTATGTAGGCTAGGTCCACATGTGCTTGAGCCTATCCTGGGTTCTGTAAATTATGAAGCAGCTTGAAGACAGTTTCTTGTTTACAAGAACTATGGGATGGCAAGGCAGACACCTTGCCATCTCCAAAACCCAGTAAGTCGTGAGTCACGGCAAAAACAACTTAAAGTCTTACTTATAGCCAAATTCTTTGTATCACGCTGCGAGTTTTGCAAACTTCAAAGGAATTTTGGGTTTTTTTGTTCCATTAATCATCTTAGCGGACCTCTTAGGAAACACATGTTTACTTGTGATTGGTGCATTTCGACCCACTTTGTTTGTTTCTGTGTTTCAAGGTTTGTTGCTTGTGATCGCCCTGTTTCGGGCAATAGTCCACTAAATTTCGTCGAAGATTTTTCCGATCTTTCTTATTCTTGTCTCTTGCAAGAATAAAGCAATGTCTGCCTCCTGCCCTCGACAGAAAGTCCCCTCATGATTGCAATTTCGTTTCGCTATTCTTGAGCCGTCTAGAGTCATTCTCAGTTTTGTTTATGTGGGCCAAGCTGGGCATTGTGATTTGCATTAACTCCGCCTCCACTCAAATGATTGACGGAACAGAAAAACCAGTTCGAAGTTTGCAAACGCGCAGCGCGATACAAAGAATTTGGCTATAAGTTTCTACGTGTGTTTCATTTTAGTTCTTGATGTTATCACCACTTGAACTATTAATGTGGTTGTCTTGAAAAGCTGTTTGTTTTACTTTTGTACCTTGTGATAGTAATTTGTTCTTCGTATTTCACATTAGGTATACCATAGTACTCATGTATTATGCACTATCTGTCGGCCTCCTGTTTGTGTTCCGTCCAATCATCTCGTACCAGTTCTGTGATGGCCAAGGACGACCTTCCATTTATGCAGCTCTATACTTCCTACCATCCTTAGCTGTGCTACATGCCATATTCAGTGGACTAATTTGTAAGTATAAACTTAAGAAGTGTTGAATTTGTTAAATTTGGTATTTCATAGACTTGTACCCCCCAAGACTCAACTACATTGGAAAAGAATATTATTCTACATTGTAGAGTCTGAGCATTACTGAATCAAGTAGACTATATTTTATTGTCATAATGGTAAAACTTGTTCTCAGACGTGAGCATTCCTATACCATGTATGCAAGGTATGAAGTTGGTGAAAGCCTCAACCTTTAGACCTTGTTCTGTTAGGCACATGAATGCTTGATATGCTGTTTAGTTTTTGTGCCAAGAGATGTAGAAAGAAAATTAAGTCACATGGAAGGTTTTAGTCCAAATTGTTTTCCAAGCAGACTAGTCTGTAATGGTTGTGCCATCTTAAGATGTCATCAATTTATTCATCACCAATCACATTTTCATTATTATTTTTTCTATGTCTACATGTAGTTTTTGTCTTGTCTGTTTTCAGATTATTCTTATCCTTATGCAACATTAGTTATTTCCGTTTTGAGTACTGCTGCAGTTTTGGCCAAGAACAAAATTACAGTGAGTACTTTAAAATTTCTTAACAAGTGACCTTAAACCATGATAGAATGGCAAAAGAGGGACTGAGCTTTCTGTTATTAGATACAGACCACTCTAGACTCTGGCGTTCATAGAGATGTTTATTAAGAGAGAGGGTTGCAGTTTTTTTGTCAGTCATTCAGGAAGGTGATTCCCCCCCTCCCCTACTTAACTCTGGCTGTAGCAAGCTGTCGAGCGAAACGCGCAAGACACGCAAATGACCACGCACGTGGCTGAAGGCGCGAGGCGTTGCAGTGATGGTAGATAAATTAACTCTTATCGACAGCTCCGCTAGTAACGTCGTCAGCTTCCTTTATGCGCAAAGCAAAGACAAGAAAAGTACTTTGAAAATGATTTCTGGGAAATGTAGACATGTTTAATACCCTTTTGCCTTTCTTATTTTTGTAGCACGTGCGGCAGTTGGTCAGCAGTAAGCGTCACGTGATCATCATAATCATTCATTGGTTGGTTCATGCCTATGGAATATTGGCCGTGACGCTTGTTCAAGATCCTGCTGTACACGGGCCATTGTTCACGCTCGTTCTGGCTCCTGTCTTGTTTTATCTGGGGACACACTCATTTACCGACCCAAGCAAGTTCAAGACTACTTAAGGAGACCTTTGCTTAAAATTTGCCAGCTTTCAGGTAGTCTTATTTTGAGTTTAAAAAAGTTGTCAAATATTAATAAGGGAACAGCACAGAGGAGTTTTTATTTGAGAATTGAACGGGTGAAGGTAAGGATGCCTACATAGTTATAGACAGTAAAAAAGTAAGTTCTTTCCCTTCCAAAGGAAAGGCGGGCGGACTCAGAGGGGACGGGTAGACAGACGCATACAATTCACCTGCCTGTCTCGCCCAAGCCTCACTTGGCCGTTTTTTGACATCACCTCACACTTTTCCTTTGAAGAGGTCTCGCATTCATGACCAACTCCAAAATAGGGCTGAATTGCAGTCTAAAATAGTTGTAATTCATCTTCACTGCGACAATAGCCACTCATTGCCGAGCTATAGATAAGTTATGGGGGAAACATTTTGCCCAGGCAATGAGCAGAAAATACACAGGCAGACGGATACACGTCGCCATAGGGGAGGAGGGTGGGAAAAATTTGTGTTAGTAGTTCCAGCAAGCAAAACTTGGCGAAAAGAGGGAAAAAATCCGAAAACGTGACTTAAAATGGGTAGACTACGGTCACTCAAGGAGAAAAGGAAAGAGATGATGAGAATGCCGCTTGCTGAGGAGGCCGCTTGGCCGAGTGGTTAGAGCGCTGGACCTGTAATTCGGAGGACCCGAGTTCAAGTCCCGCCCTGGTCGCTAACTGGATTTGTCCTCGGTAGTCCCGAGTTCAAATGCCAGACCGCGCTTGTAAAATAGACAGCTGGTTCGCCTCTTACCAGTTGGGGATTCTTACCATGTTATGTATGTGCCATTTAAAATTATTTGTTTCGTTATCCCTGAAAAGCTTCATAAGGGGAGAGGATAACTAAAGTATCATCATCATCATCATCCGTCATCATCATCATCATTATCGATAGCACGGCGAAATTTCGTGACTATTGTCGCAGTGAAGCTAAACAAGCAGTTCTCTGCTTTTTGCGAAACGAAAAGACATTGTTTCAGGACTGTAATCCGCCTTCGTATTGCGCTTTCCTTGGCTTGGTCCTTTATCACTTGGTACTTAAATTATCTCAGCACATTTTAAGAACAGAGAATGCGAACATGTTGAACGGAAAAACCGTTTGTGATGCGTGACACTTGGATTAAGATAAGTAAAAGAATGATATTGTAACAAAATATCAAAAAGTGTCAAGAACTTTATGATGGTCTTTCGAAAAAAGGCTTTTCGCTTGTATATCAATCTTCAGTGTACAGAAAACCATAGAAACAGAAATATGTCGTGTAATTAGTAGAAACCAATACCAATACAGAAAACGAGCTTGATAAAAGAATTTAGTAAAAACTAATATGGTTACACGTTTATAATATTGTACCAAGAAAATGTGCATCTTCCAAACCCTGAGTAAGTGTTTGTTAATGTTAAACAGTAAAGCCTGAATACTGGGGTTTGAAACAATAATATTTAAGTTTAGGCGAATGTAATATGAAATTAAGATAAATAAAATAACGTTTTCTTAAAAAAAATAGTATTTCCCGTTGAAAGAGCTGAATGTTGTAGCCGGGAAATGATCCTTTTCAGAGGTAAGAGAATGGATAATTCATTCTAACGAAGGGCTAACTCTTTTGTACTGTCTGTCAAAATCCCCCTTCGAGTCAAAATAAATCCTCAAAATAAATCCTCTTTTCAAAATCGATTGTTCGTACCAATACTTATTTCCCAATTCGATACGAAAGGGGAATACCGAGAACACCGGGTATTCTACACCACTGCAAGGTTGCTGCCAAGGTGTTTTAAACCCTATTAGCGCTGTAGTCAATATCTGTTAGTTATGCTTATGCGTAGTTGTTGGAAATATATTGACATTTCCTCTATCAGCTGTCAAGGCGAAGGAACTCAGTCTATAATCCAGCTGAGGATTAAATGATCTTGAATGCCCTTTGAAGTTGTCAACGCACAACATGACCATTGAGTAGTCATTTCTGTGACCAGCAATATTTTCTCTCTGGTGATTTTAAGAGATCATCTCATTCCGTTTGTTTGGCCCTGTTAATGAGTTTTAAAAGTACGCGGCAGTGTGTTTTTTGTTCTGTTTAGTTCCACTTACCTGAGTGAGAGATGTCTCTTCCTCCACGGTTTGTTGCCTTTTCTTGTCCGGTCTTGGTTAGACTTGCTCCACGTCAACTACGTGAGTGAGTGCCGAAGCGCAAGAAACGGCGAAAGCGACCGGAAACGGTGTTTGGTCTATATCGTGTTATTGCCTTGTCATCTGCCTCGTGCTTGCCTTACCTTGGTCTATATTTTCCTCTCAGAGGCACGTTTATGTTTAATATTTGCCGTGTTTGCATTCAATATGAAAGTTTCAACAATTTTGAAAATGATACTAACAATGAATCAGTTAACGAAATAAAATTGACTGGTTTTTGAGCTAGGAACCGTGCTGCCATTCAGCAGAATTTTCTTCCAGGCCCGCAAAGCTATCGAGACTTTCGAGAAACGAAGCTCAGGTCATGTCTTACCTTAAGTCTTCATGGCATGTGTTGTTTTGCCTTGCTCGTTTTATTATTTTCCTGTCCTATCTTGTATTTACATGCCTCAGCTTGTATTTGCATGCCTTGTCTCATCCTGCCTAGTTATTTTTGATCGTCAGTCTTACTTTAAGTCTTTTCATTGCATGTCCTGTTTTGCGTTGTTCGTTTTATTATTTTCCTGTCCTATCTTGTATTTACATGCCTCAGCTTGTATTTGCATGCCTTGTCTCATCCTGCCTAGTTATTTTTGATCGTCAGTCTTACTTTAAGTCTTTTCATTGCATGTCCTGTTTTGCGTTGCTCGTTTTATTATTTTTCCTGTCCTATCTTGTATTTACATGCCTCAGCTTGTATTTGCATGCCTTGTCTCATCCTGCCTAGTTATTTTTGATCGTCAGTCTTACTTTAAGTCTTTTCATTGCATGTCTTGTTTTGCGTTGCTCGTTTTATTATTTTTCCTGTCCTATCTTGTATTTACATGCCTCAGCTTGTATTTGCATGCCTTGTCTCATCCTGCCTAGTTATTTTTGATCGTCAGTCTTGAATTTTATTGAGTGTCTTGTGTTGTCCTTCGTTGTCCGGAATCTCTTATAGGTTCTTATCTTGCCTGCCAGCTATTCGATATCTTCCTCATTGTGCAGGCCTGGAACATTTCATTCTATGAATCAGTAGTTAAATAGAGTGAACTTCCGCGTTCAAACTTTTCAAGGACTTTCCGGCCTAAGATTTCAGGAAACCACACTTGATCACCGCGAGTATGTTGTACATATACTCGGAATTGAAGACATGCTAGTAGCGCAGAAATAGACGAAGTCCGACTGTTTTGCTCAAGACTCTTTGATACAAGTTCCAAATGAGCCCATGCAAGCCTTAATCTCGCCCTGCTGTATTCAGCATGGCTGACAGAACGCCTTCGGTTTGAAAATCTGGTTTTATCGCCGCTGTTTGGCAATTTTTCTTGTTTCAATACATAAATTCTGTAATTAGGTAACTGATGAGGTATTCAGAGGCTGACTTATTTTTGGGAAAAGCCTTTCTTCTATAGAATTCATAATTAAAAGTAAGGATAGACATTTTACTGTCAGCAGCGAGCCCACACCAAAGCCATGCTAGCTAATGATGGTGGAAACAAATAAAGCGATCAATGATAACGGTTTTCTTAGAACTTGTCTTTATCAGCTGGTGGTTACATTAAACGCACTGATTACCACACATGCCCTAAATATATCATAGCAACAACCTTCTATTTTTACGTTCATTCGGGAAGATCCTTACTGAAGTTATGCGAAATTACGTTTGCTAACGGCTGGTCCGCTTTGGAGGAAGTTAGTTGCAGTAGAATAGGCGTGTCTTGAATATACGGATATATTTTAAGATGGATACAACTGTCTTATTTTTAGAACACCAATTCTTTTCATCTCTATCAGACTGATTATCAAAACGACATTCTTTTGTAAAGCTCATACTTTCGCTGACGAAACTGTTTATAAAGAACTTGAACCGAAAGTTTCCTAGAATCTCATTATGTCAAGTTCCTAGGTTGCAGAGAGTAGAATATTGGAACCGGAAGACAAATGCCTTATATCTGCCCTACCTTCTTCGCCTTTGAGTGAACACACAAGTAAAAAATAACCAGAAGCTAACTGACTTCCGCGTGAAGGACCCTTTCACCGTTAACATGGAGGATCTTTATATAACGACAACAATTGCAAGTTTCAAATTTGCAATGTAAAATATATTTTAAAAAAATAAGTGACAAATATGAACTTCAAATTCTCTCTCATTTAGGTCCTAAAAATACGGGAGGGTTAAATTGAACATAAAAGAACAAAAAAGTAATAATATAATTAAAATCTGAGATTTCCGCTTCAGTTGGTATTCGAAGAAACGAAACATATTTCTCAATGTCAGGGTGAAAAGGATACGGTGTCGAAATCATGATTGTGTCATTCTTGTAAATTTTATAAAAGAACGTGATTTTCGTAATTGGTTCTACTTCTCACTTGTTACTTAATAGATCCTTAGTTCCGTTTAGATGTTAACAAGTCATGTGTGATCATGCATGTTATGAAAATGAATTAAGTTCTTTATTATCATTATTTTTTGTTTTTGGTCAGTGATCTCTGACGTATGCCTTGTTTTCACAAGAGGCTACTTAATTATCGGCGGTGACCACGAAACCGAGTGACCGACAGTTTAATATGCCAGCGGGAAAGCTAGAGTTGGGATGTTATTTGGAGAATATGGATGAAAATTCGCGCTCGCGCCAGTGATTAATAAAGAGAGTGGGAGACAAAGGGAGACAAAGAAAGAAAGCAAAACGACAATAATAACAAAACAACAATTCTGACATAAAATAACTGACGGCAGGCTTTGTAGATACAAAAAAGTCAGCTGAAAAGTATAGAGTTTTGGATGCATAAGGAATCGTGGTACAAAAACCGAGTGGATTAAGTGGCTTTTTTAGTGAAATAAGTCCGAGAAAACTGAAAGTTTGGCCAATTTTCATCCAAACTTTCGTTAATACTACAAATCTTAACCTTGAGGATGTTAACACCTGAACTCAACGGCATATAAATTCTAAGATTTTTTATCCGTTGTGCTGCTGGGCGCAGTTGGAATTGACTGATGCATTACTTCATAATAATCAGAAACGCCTTTTAAAAATTTTTCTGGCTTTAGTTGCTCGACCTTGGACAGTATATAATCATCTCACTCGAGGTGATTGTTGGCTAATACTGAAGACATAATCATCTTGGAACAATCAGTCAGAACACTCATATTGAACTTGTCCTTGGTAAAGAAAGATAAAATCCTATTATCAAAAGAGACACCAAATATACCGGGGCATGTTAACCTTGACCTTGTTAAACCTTGAACTGGCTGAAACTCTTCACATCAGCTTCTGTATTGTGTTATTTTGCAAAGTTTCAGGGCCTCGAATAGCAGTTTGTGCTATTTTGCAAGGGACATGTTTACTACTTCTTGTGCTCTAAATTAAGTTTTGTTGTTGTTTTTGAACCTGTCTGATGTTCTTGTAGGTGCGCGCTTTTAAACTGTATTTTCTCGAAAACTTCAAATGAAGGCCAAATTCAGTTTAACAGAATACTAGTAAATAATTCAGTGTCTTGGTCAAGGTGTCAAAAATGTAGTCAGATTACTGAGCAAAATCAAACGAATTAAGAATACCTTAAATACAGTGCATTAAGGACAATGACTGATATTTGACTACAACTACCAGAATTCATTTCGGTTTTGCTTTGTTATTTAAATTTGTCAATCCTGCGGAGGATTAAAGAACAATAGCCTTAATTTGCACAACAAAACAACAAACTCAAGGATTCTGGTAGTTGTAGTAAAATGACGTCATCGTGCAATTGTCCTAGTTGAAAAGTTGTTTGTTCCATGGCAAGTACCTTTTCTCGTAATTAGATAAGAACCTATTTAAGGAACTAAAAAAGCCTAAATTTGTCATCAGACAAAAAATATATTAAAAACAACTAGTTGTTGCTGACGTTTTTTTCTTATTTTTTTTTTTCTTAACTCACGTCCAGGACAGTATTTATATTCTGGCTTGTATAAAGTACGTCATCTTACCTACTGAAATTAACCCTCAAAATTTCTTTCAATTTCACTTTTTGCACTCCACTCAAACCTCTGATGATCGAAGTCTCTACTGACTTATGTAATGGTAGTGTTACAAAGTTGAAATTGCTCACAACAAACGCCACAGCCATCCAGTTAAAGTATAAATCGCAACAAAACAAAATTGAACAAAACTGTAACTTCCTCGATCATTATTTCTTTGAGTGGAATCTTAAACCACTTTGCCCAGATTTATTTAACACTGGCTTGCTCAGTAATATCAATAACTTGTGATCTTGAGAAAGGATCCATCGGCTATCTTTAACTTCAAACGCTCTGCTCTTAGATAAAACTAGCAACGAGG